ACAAAAGGAGAGATAAGAATTGAGAAAAGAATTGTTAAGCAAAAAGGAATCAAAACCTAAACATTTGGAAAAATTTCAGACTATCAATACTGCAAAAAAATTAGATAGCATGGTGTGTGGCTGGACCATTACTCCATAAAGAGCTTATGGGATTATATGAGCAGAAATAATGCCAGTATGAACTGAAGGGGATGGAGATGGGACAAACTAAAAGAAGGTTGTTAGACTCTTAGATTTGACAGGACTGTATAAAGCTCTTTAGTTGCAAAAATGGGCTATTCCTCAAGAAGAGGGAAAAATACCCCAAAGGCAATTCAGAGGGTCATCAGAGTACTGCCTCAGTTTCAACAGGACACACAGCCTCTGCCAGAGGTTTTGGGGCAAGATTTCCTGGCAGAGCCTTGGGAGCTGGACCCCAGCCTAGAGCTGTCAGGGTGATGCTGCCACCCCAGTGGACCTCAAAGGCAGAGTATTAAACCAAAGAGGATTATTACTGAGCCTTAAGATCTAATAGACTTCCTCGGTGTTGCTCAGGCATTATTGTGTCGGCCTGCAGACCGAAGGGTCTTGGGTTCGATTTCCAGTCAAGGGCGTGCACCTGGGTTGCAGGTTTGATCCCCAGCCCTGGTTGGGCTGCATGAAGGAGGCAACCAATTGATGTGTCTCACTCACTCTCCCCCCCTTCCCGCCTTCCCTTCCACTCTCTCTAAAAAATAATCAATAGAAAAAATATCCTTAGGCAAGGATTAACAACAACAAAAAAATCAACTAAACTTTGCCTTATTAGATTTTGGACTTGCTTGGAACCCATCACCCCTTTCTTCTTTCTGATTTCTAAATCAGAAAAAATGGGACTGTCTACTCTATGCTTCCCACCATTGTAGTTTGAAAACACTTGTCTGGTTTCACAAGTTCAACAACCAGAGAGAAATTTTATCTCTGAAATAATTGTACCTTGAATATCAGTCATATCTGATTAGAGGATATTTAAATGAGACTTTGAACTTCAGAGTTGATGCTGGAATGAGTTAAGATTTTTGGAGTAGTTGGGATAGAATGTGAATTTGTATGTGAGAAGGACATAAATTTTGGGGACCAAAAGCAGAATGCTCTGGCTGAATTGTGCCCTTCCAAAATCCATATGTTGAAACCCTAACCTCCAACATGACTGTATTTGGATAGGACAGGGCTTTTAGGAGGAAAACAATGTTAAATAAGGTCATACGGTGGAGTCCTAAACTGAAAGGATTGGTGACCTTATAAGGAGATAAATAAGTGGAACAACAAATAGGTATTTCCCTCCCTCCCTCTAAGATAAAAGAAAAAGTTCTTAGCCCTGGATGGTTTGGCTCAGCAGTTGGAGGGTCGACCTTCGGACTGAAGGGTCGTGTGTTCCATTTCGGTCAAGGGAGAGTACCTCCTTGCAGGTTTGATTCCTGGCCCTAGTGGGGGTCATGCAAGAGGCAACTGGTTGGTATGTCTCTCTCACGTCAATGTTTCTCTCTCTCTCCCTCCCTTCCACTCTCTCTAAAAAGCAATGAGAAAATATCTTCAGGTGAGGATTAATAACAAAAAATCTGAAAAAATAAAAAAGATGAGAGAAAAAGCTCTCTCTCCATGAGCATTCACCAAGAAAAGGCCTTATGAACACACCATGAGTAGGCAGCTATCTGCAAGGAAGGAAGAGAGCTCTCACCAGAACCAGACCATGCTGACACACTGATTTCAGACTTCTAGCCTCTATTACTGTGACAAAACACTGTTGTGTTCATTCTATGCTATTTTATTATTGCAACCCAAGTAGACTAAGATTTAAGTGTATATTATATTTGTAACTGGAAAAATAACTATCTTTTCAGCAATAGCAATCAGAAGAGTCGCACATTTAGAAACATTGGGCTTTGTCTATATTTGGGGTCTTAATAGTTCTTTAAAATTCTTCATACTGCTTTATAAAATAAAATCTTACTCTATATGGTGTCTGGTAACAGTGATATTCATCACTTACAATGTCCCCATACCCCAAATTTGATGATTAGAGCAAACTGAATATAAAATGGTGGGTAATTTTTTATAATGACTGCATTAATAAAAACACATGCCTTAAACCCTAACAAATAATATAGTTACAATCAGTTGTCTTACATTAATCATTTAAAATTAGTGTTATATAATGAGAATGACTATATTTCTGATTTGCCTGGGAGAATCCTAGCTTATGTCCACTGCCTTGGTATACTTGTCAGTGCCCACTTTCACTCTCAAAAACTCCTGGTAGCCCTGGCTGGTTTGGCTCAGCAGTTAGAGCATCGGCCTGAGGACCAGAGTCCCAGGTTCGGTTCCCGTTAAGGGCATGTACCTCAGTTGTAGTTCGTCCCCGGCCCAGGCTTAGGTCGTGTGGGTGGCAACCAGTTGATGTATCACTTTCACATCGATGTTTCTCTCTCTCTTCCTCCCTCTCTCCCTCCTACTTTATCTTAAGATAAATGCAAAAGTGTCCTCGGGTGAGGATAAAAAATAAAGTCCTGGAAAACTATGGTTATTCTATGCATATAGTCAATTACATAGTAACCATATATTTAAAATTTTATAAATTTACTGTTTAGTCTGGGACAGGAAATACCAACTGTCACTGAAATCTGGAAAATATAGTTGTTATAGTATATAATAATAAATTATTTAAATAATTTTCTTCCACTGGGAACCAATGTAAATTTTGAGAATGAATTGAGAAATTATAAAAAGAACCAGATGCACCCAGCCGGTGTGGCTCACTGGTTGAGCATCGACTCATGCACCAAGAGGTAGCTGGTTCAATTCCCAGTCAGGGCAATGGGCCTGATCCCCAGCAGGGAGCATGCAGGAGGCGGCCAATCGACGTTCTCTTTCATCAATGTTTCTCTCTCCCTCTCACTTCCTCTCTCTAAAATCAATAAGCCCTGGCCAGTTTGGCTCAGCGGTTAGAGCGTCGGCCAGCGGTCCGGAGAGACCCGGGTTCGGTTCCCGCTAAGGGCACGTACTTCGGTTGCAGTTTGTCTCCGGCCCTGGTTGGTCATGCGGGTGGCAGCCACTCGATGTGTCCCTTCACATCGATGTTTCTCTCTCTCTCTTCCTTCCTGTCTCTCCCTCCCGCTCTATCTGTACAAAAAATGGAAAAGTATCCTCGGGTGAGGATAAAAAAAAATAAAATAAAATCAATAATAAATAAATAAATAAATAAAACCAGATGTTAAAACATTTTGAAATGCTTTTGAAACTACTCAATCCAAAATTTTAACTTATTCAAGCAGTGTAAGATTATTCACAGGAAAATGTCAATACACCTAGAATTCTAGAATGTAGAAATAATTAACTGTGAACTTATTGACCTGACTATTCTGGAAGAGTATATTCCAGACAATTTCCAAATGGAATAATAGTTCCAAAGTCCTTCCATTACTATTATAAAATAAATAAAAAATAAACAAATGAAAAAAAATAAACAAATTACTTAGATTTTAGAATTGAGGTTAACTAAAATTATTGATCATCTAAAATGTGTATTCTACCCATAAAACTGAATATAATGAAATGCTGACTCATGTGCTAGGTTTCCTTTATAATAATAAAATAGGTCATTTTAAGAATTATCAGACCTGCCCAGCCACTGTGGCTCAGTGGTTGAGCGTCGACCCATGCACCAAGAGGTCGCCAGTTCAATTCCTGGTCAGGGCACATGCTTAGGCTGTGGGCTCAATCCCCAGTGGGGTGCATGCAGGAGGTGACCAATCGATGTTCTCTCTCATCGATGTTTCTATCTCTCTCTCTACCCCTTCCCCTCTCTCTAAAATCAATAAAGAAAAAATTTTTTTAAAAAAAGAATTATCAGCCCTGGCCAATTTGGCTCAACAGTTAAAGCATCAGCCCTCAACCAAAAGGGTCTAGGGTTTGATTCCCAGTCAAGGCCATGTACTTCAGTTGCAGGTTCAACCCCTCACCCTGGTCGGGCTCATGCAGGAGGCAACCAAACCATGTCTCTTTCACGTCAATGTTTTTCTCTCTCTCCCTCCCACTCTACCTAAAAAAAAAAAAAAAAAAATCAATGGAAAAATATCCTTGGGTGAAGATTTTAAAAAAAGAACTATCAAAGCTAAACTTAAGGAGAAGAACACAAAAGGAACATTAAAACAATATTTTTTTCTTAGGATTTTCTAGGCAATTAGCAAAGAAAAGAAGAAAAAACAGCCTGCCTGGACACATGAGATTAGCTTTCCACATTTACAAAATAATAATACCTATAATCCCTACTGAGTGTTACTAAATATTGTAAACAGGGTACAATGTAAGTGTAGAACACTCCAGAGAAACTCTTTCAGCCCTGGCTGATTTGGCTTAGTGGTTAGAGGGTCGGCCTGTGGTCCGGAGAGACCTGGGTTCGGTTCCTGCTAAGGGCACGTACCTCGGTTGCAGTTTGTTCCCGGCCCTGGTTGGGTCATGTGGGTGGCAACCACTCGATGTGTCCCTTTCCCGTCGATGTTTCTCTCTCTCTCTTCCTCCCACTCTGTCTGAACAAGAAATGAAAAAAATGTCCTTGGGTGAGGATTAAAAAAAAACAAACAAAAAACCTCAGAGACTCATTTTCATTTAAATATATATATATTTCATTTGATATATTCCTGATTCATTTATGCTATAGTGTGTGTTTATATTTCAAAGAAACAAGTCTACTCCTTGTAAACACTGCATCTCACAGAACCAATACACACGGACGCGCGCATACATATACACACACTTTGAGACTTGTCTTTGTAAATATGTGGGGTTTTTTTATTGATTTTTTAGAGAGAGAGGAAGGGAGAAAGAGAAAGAAACATCAATATGAAAGAAAAACATCGATTGGCTGCTCACTGCACACTCCCCACTGGGGTGGAGCTGGCAATCCAGGCATGTGCCCTGCCCAGGAATTGAACTGGGACCTCTCAGTCCATGGGACAATGCTCAATTCACTGAGCCACATCAGCCAGGCAAGACTAGTCTCTGGATTCCTGTTCTTCCTCTGATTCTCATGACCGTTTTCGGGAGTTCAGTGAACCTTCTGTATGCAATGAACATGCAGTAGCAACAACAGCATCTCTAAATCCCTGAGGCTGCAAGATGAAAAAAATATACAAGTATGCTTTAAAAATATTTAAAATAATGATTGGTCTTCCAAATATGATAAGAGAGCTACTTTATTCTGGGCTAGAAGTTATCACCCACTGTGAATGAAGAGGATAAACTTCATGGACAGATGTCCAAGCCAGGCTATACTAGAGTATTTCCTATCTAGAGATTTATTTATTTATTTATTTATTTATTTATACACATACACTCAGAAATAACACTGCATTATAAAAATGTTCTCTAAAAGACAATCCTAACAAAGTTTGTGGTGATACTATTGGAAGAGGTGAAAGAAAATAACATATAATAATTACTTAGGTATTTTACAAACTTATTTTCACAATTAAATTCTCTAAAATAAAGTTTTCCAATTAGAATACTTTAAATGCACCTAGGCAGTGCAAAGACTAAGTGGATAACTCAGTATTTCTGTTTGTGCCCTTAAAATATGAGATGCCAATAATATATTTGGCTCAAAAGTACTGATAAATATGTATATTTCAGTAAAAAAATGTACGTTCTATGATGTACAATTACAGAAAAATTAACATTATAAAGTAGGATATATTTGGTAGCTATGACAAATCTATAATATCAATGAACCAAAATGAGTAACATTGGTATTTTTTCTTTTATGAAAATTTTTAACAACTTTCACTTTAAAAATATTTAATATCCTGACATTACATATGGCATGGAACACACTACCCTACAAATAACTATTTCCTCAGTTCTTAAAAATAAATTTCAGGCCAAGTGTGACTAGTATATTTTATACTATACTAAAATATTGTATATTTTATATTACACACACACACACACACACACACACACACACACACACTGATATTTTGGGGATAATTCTAAGTATCAAAAGCTGTCCTCAAACTGGCTTGGTGCCTACAGAAGTTAACAGAAGCAATTTGTAAATACTCTCTCTAGATAATTATTGCCCACCAACACCAAAATCGCACTCTAATCAAATAATACTGACTGTGATTTGAAATGGTACTGTAGTTTCCTTCTGGCTTGGTGATTTGCACAATGTTGCCAACCTGCTTAGAGAAAAAAAACACACACAAACACATAATCTGAATTAATTAGTTCAGACAACTGATTTAATCATTTAAATTTATAATTTTTAAATATAATTCTATTATTTTGTTCTCCAAGGACACAGGAAAGAAAAAAATATCAGAAGTACTCCCTTCAAACTATGGCTCTATGTATACATGTAGTAATTATTACATATATTAACAATGACTTGTTTATATAAGTGAAATTTTAAAGCAGCCTTCAAGTCCAATGATTGTTTCAAATAAACCAGAAATTTTTGCCCTAACGGGATAGCTCAGTTGGTTAGAGCATCATCCCAATACACCAAGGTTGCAGGTCCAATCCCCAGTCAGGGTATATACAAGATGCAACCGATGAATGCATAAATAATTGGAACAAAAATCAATAAATAAAAATAAAAACAGCAATTTTTCAACCGGTGTACTACAAAATTTTTAAAACATGCAATACCTGACTATTTAGTCTTGTTGCACTGACCTCTTTTCCCTTAGAATGTCAAAGAAAAAAATAACAATACCAACAATAGCTGTCCAGTGTGAATGAATCAAAATTGTAACTATTTTTTGGTCAGGTTAGCAAAAAACATATTTTTTCGATGTGCCACAGAATTTTAGTAATTAGTTTATGTGTGCCATGAGCTGAAAAAGGTTGAAAATCACAGAAATAAACTATTTTATACATGACAAGATACTATATATGCTTAAGAAAACATAGTGGAAGAAAATATTTAATGAGATAGGAAATATTAATATTACCTTAAGTAAAAGTTATGTGGTATGATCCTGCATTTATGAGTATGTATACACACATATATTTAAAAAATTACTAGAAGGCTACAATTATAAAGTTAAGTTGTGCCCAGCCAGTGTGGTCGGTTAAGCACCGACCCATGCACCAAGAGGTTGCTGGTTCGATTCCCAGTCAGGGCATATGCCCAGGTTGTGGGTCAAATCTCCAGTGGGGGGCCATGCAGGAGGCGGCCAATCAATGTTCTCTCTCATAGATGTTTCTCTCTAAAATCAATAAAGAAAAAATATTATATAGAAAAAGTTAAGTTATTACAAGGTAATGGTTGTTTTTTTTGTTCATATTTTTCAAACTTTCTGGAGTAATTTTGTTTTTGGGTGGTGTTATATTAGAAGTATTAAGACAATTTCTTGGGATATACACGAGGAACATATACTCATATTATACTAATATAAATAAGCTAGAAAAACACATTCTTTCCAAAATGATTATGTCCAGAAAATCACTGTCATGACAGAACAAGATCTGTTTAGGCAGGGTTTTATTATGTACTCTACAAAGTAAGTAACATAAAACTAAAAGCTAAAAGTAGCTAAAAAATAAAATTCTAAGCTCTTATTAACTATGTTTAAATACTATAAAAGCAACTAATATAAGTGAAAACTTTCAAAATTACTTTAAAACTGATATAACTTATTCACAATAGCCAAAAGGTAGAAACAATCCAAATATCTGACAGATGAATAAACAAACTGTGGTATATACATATAATGGAATATTATTCAGTCTTAGAAAGGAAAAAAATTCTGACACATGCTACAGTTAACCTTGAAGACATTGTACTAAGTGAAATAAAGCCAGTCACAATAGGACAAATTTGTATGATTGTACTTATTTGAGGTGCCTAGAGTAGTCAAATTCATAGAAACAGAAGTAGAATGATGGTTGCCAGAGACTGGTGGGAGGAGAGAATGGAGAATTAGTGTTTAATGGGTACAAAGTTTCAGTATAGGAAGATGAAAAGTTCTGGAGATGGATGATGGTGATGATTATGCAATAATGTGAATATACTTTATGCCACTTAATTGTACACATAAATGGTTAAAATGGTAAGTTTTACATTATATATGCTTTAGCACAATTTTATTTTTAAATTATTTATTTATTTTTTATCCTCACCTGAGGATATTTTTCCATTGATTTTTAGGTAGAGTGGAAGGGAGGGAGGGAGGGAGAGGGAAGGAGCGAGTGGGAAGGAGTGAGTGAGTGAGCACGCACACGAAAGAGAGAGAGAAAAACACTGATGTGAGAAAGACACGTTGATTGGTTGCCTCCTGCACAACCCTCACCAGGGATTGAACTTGCAACCCTTCAGTCCTCAGCTGATGCTCTAACCTTTAAGCCAAACCTGCCAGGGCCTTTACCACAATTTTAAAAACTGACATAGCCCTGGCCGGTTTGGCTCAGCAGTATAGCATTGGCCTGTAGACCAATGAGTCACAGGTTCAATTCCAGTCAAGGGCACGTACCTTGGCTGAGGTTTGAACTAGGCCGTGGTTGGATCGTGTGGAAGGCAACCAGTCAGTCAATGTGTGCCTCTCATATAGATGTTTCCCTCTCTCTCTCCTTTTCTCTCCCTCTCTCTCTCTCCCACTCTATCTGAAGATAAACAGAAAAATACCCTCAAGTGAGGATTAAAAAAAAAATTTTTTTTAAATACTGACATAACTGCACTAACTTAGAGAAAAATCATAGACTCTCAGAGTTAAAAGGGTAATTTATTTACGTATAATATGTTGACTTGTTTTCAAAGACAATCAAAAAGGACATCTTGGTTTATGATGTTACTCTTAATTTTGAAATTGCCCCTCTACTTAGGCACAATTTAAAAGAGGAGCAATCAGAGACCATGGTCCATTAGCTTAATGTTTTAGTTTTGCACTTTCAGGATGAAAACAGCAGAATCCAAAATGTCATTTACTCTATAATTGCAACTATATGCATAAATAAAATAACTGCCAAGTAATATGTAATGTAAGACTGGTGGCAACAGGGAGTAAGATTATAAATTTTTATAGTACTTTTAGACTTCATATTCCATCCTTAATGCAAAATACAACAGAAAAATAGAAGCATGGTGTATTTTAACCTACCTTATTAAAAATCTTTCTTTTTTTTTTTTTAATCCTCAATGGAGGACATTCTTCCATTTTTTGTTCAGATAGAGTGGGAGGGAGAGAGAGAGAGAAAAACATCAACATGGAAGGGACACATCGAGTGGTTGCCATCCACACGACCCAACCAGGGCCGGGGACAAACTGCAACCGAGGCACATGCCCTTAGTGGGAACTGAACCCGGGTCTCTCTGGACCGAAGGCCAACGCGCTAACCGCTGAGCCAAACCGCCCAGGGCTCTCTCTCACTTTTTGATTCAATGTAACAAAAATTACCTGATCTTCTGAAAAATTATTATCTAATACCATGTCCAAAAAGGTACTCAGTTCATCTGACTTTTCTGAGAAAATTAAAAAGTAAATAAGCTTTTATGAAGCATTTATGGTTTATTAAGAGTCCTAAAGTCAAATTGGCATTAAGTATTCACGTTGAAAATCTTCCTCAAATTTCTAAGTAAGAGTAAAATTTTATATTTCATGTCTGCATCTCAACAGATCTTTTTAAACAACAAACTAAACCAAAGAATCACTTGACTCATGGCCCAAGCTGAGATGAAGCTTAACATATGGCTGAACTACACAGTTTTGGTCAGGAAGAAACAAGACAGAATTGTGCTCTAAAGCTGAGTATACATATGAAACACTATGTGGGGGTGTTGCTATATTACTCCACTCTACCACTAAATCTTCTTGGCAGAGTGGTATAATTCTGAACAATCTCAGTCTCATAATATCATGAATATGTAAATTGAAGTAAAACAGGCACAATATACAGGATAGAGACCAAAGTAATTCTTTTAGAATGTCATTCCATTATTAGAATGCTTTAACATTTCTATTAGAATATTATTCCATTATTAGTCAAAGGATAAAAATCAGTGTTGCTAGTGAAGGATGGCGACTAGGTCATAAGGTGGGATACTTAAATTCAATTCTCAATATCTATTTTAGCTAGCCAACGTTTTCAGTTTTCTGCTCAAACTTTAAGTGTTCATTTTTATAACTATTTTCCTCCAGTGTGAATTTATATTTCCATCCTTTCAAGATAAACTAAAATTTAAAGGATATACAGGATTTCATGCAAGTTTAATGACTGAAAGATAGCTGGTTTCAAACAAAAAGAACAAAACTATTTTAATTCTATTAAATAAAGTCAACTTCTTCTGGTTATAATAAAGTATGAACATTACTTATCATATAGCCACAGCCTGGAAACAGTTTGGAGAAAGAGGATTTTACCTTAAAAAAGGTGGATAAGAGATATACCTTCAGATTTCCTGGCAATCAACATAATATTAGAATTACATTCAAGAAACAGCAATTATAGGGGAAAAAATGGACTCTATTATAGTCAACAATAAAATGTGGGTACTACTACCTATTTCACAGTTATATGGAAAATAAAATGTTATACACACACAGTGCCTAGCATAATAAAAAGAAAGTTAAGCCCTGGCCAGTTTGGTTCAGCGGTTAGAGTGTCGGCCTGCGGTCCGGAGAGACCCGGGTTCGGTTCCCGCTAAGGGCATGTACTTCGGTTGCAGTTTGTCCCCGGCCCTGGTTGGTCGTGCGGGTGGCAGCCACTCGATGTGTCCCTTCACGTTGATGTTTCTCTCTCTCTCCCTTTCTCTCTCTCCCTCCCATTCTATCTGTACAAAAAAATGGAAAAATACCCTCGGGTGAGGATTAAAAAAAAAAAAAAAAGTTAATAAATATTCAATAAATGGGAGTTATTATTTACTAGTCAGTTAATCTTCTGGGCCTTGGTCTTCTCTCTGTTAATAATAGACATAGATTCTTCAAAGAGTATTAAATGGATTATAAAAAATGCTGTACATAAACTGACCAGTTAAATGCCTAGAACTAGCATGCACTCACTAAAATGACAGTATGGAATATAGGAAAATTGTTACAGAACAGTAGATTTCCCCAAAATCTATCTATTCAATGTCAGTGCTCTACACTATTCTCCAATTTCTTGGAAAGGATTAGTAAGAAACTGAAGTCATAAAATGGTTAACTCTTAAAAATTAAGCATGATTGCCCTGGCCAGTGTAGCTCAGTTGGTTGAGCATCTTGTTCCATGCACCGAAAGGTCACCAGTTCAATTCCAGTCAGGGCACGTACCCAGGTTGCAGGTTTGATCCCTGGTTGGGGTGTGTAGGGAGGCAACTGATTGATGTTTCTTTTTCTCTCTCTCCCTTCCTCTCTGAAAATGAATCAAAACCTATTTTTAAAAAGTAAGCATGACCCTGGCCGATTTGGCTCAGCAGTTAGAGCGTTGGCCTGTGGTCTGGAGAGACCCGGGTTCAGTTCCTGCTAAGGGCACGTACCTCGGTTGCAGTTTATCCCCGGCCCTGATTGAGTCGTGTGGGTGACAACCACTCAATGTGTCCCTTTCACGTCGATGTTTCTCTCTCTCTCTCTCTCCCTCCCACTCGATCTGAACAAAATATCAAAAAATGTCCTCGGTGAGGATGATAAAAAAAAAAAAATTAAGCGTGATTTTCTGATCTCATGGGTACCTAACCAATGCTAATTTACAAAATTAGATAAAGGCAAACTTCTCCTTCTGATGAATACATAAACAAATTAAACATCTTGCCCTGGCTGGTTTGGCTCAGTAGTTAGAGCACCGGCCTGTGGACCATAAAGAGCTGCGGGTTTGATTCTGGTCAAGGGCATGAACCTCGGTTGCAGTTCGGTCCCTGGCCCTGGTCAGGGTCATGTGGTAGGCAACCAGTCAATGTATCTCTTTCACATTGATGTTTTTCTCAATCTCTCTCTCTCTCCCTCCTTCCCTCCCACTCTATCTGAAGATAAAAATAGAAAAATATCCTTGGGTGAGGATTAAAACAAAAACATCTTGCTCTGCTCCTATTATTTTTCTCATCTCTTAGACGTGTTCTACAGTATTTAATAGAATAGTGAGAGGCTATTATTGTACACCAGCTCAAGGGAAGTTCCTAAGAACATTAGTGGATGCACTTTGCAAAAAAAAAAACAAATTTGGGAAAGTGTAAGCAGTATGTTCTAAAGACGCATCTAGAAAAATTGCCAAATCTTTACAATAGGGTTTATTACTAAGCAAAAAAATTATTTTAGTGAATCCAGCGTACAAGGACTTATTTACAGAATTGGGGGATAGGAGTCCATTGTAAGCCACTATGTATTATAGGAAGAAAAAAAAAGGCTAATGGGGACATCTGTAATATTTCAACAATAAAGATTTAAAAAAAACTCACCTGCCCTGGCTGGTTTGGCTCAGCGATTAGAGCATTGGCCTGTGGTCCAGAGAGAATCGGGTTTGGTTCCCGCTAGGGGTGAGTACCTCAGTTGCAGTTTGTCCCCAGCCCCGGGAGGCAGCCACTCATTGTATCCCTTTCATGTCAATATTTTTCTCTCTCTCTCTCTCTCTTTCTCTCTCTCTCTCTCTTCCTCTCTTTCCCTCCCACTCTATCTGAACAAAAAATAAAATAATGTCCTCCGGTGAGGATAAAATAAATAAATAAGTAATAATAATTAATAAATAAATTTAAAAATAAATAAATAAAAACTAAAAAAGACTCATCTGAGCTCTGGAAATGCCATCTTTAAAAGAGACACAAACTGCATGAATTAGTAACAAAAGATGTATGAAAGTGTGACCAGCTCTGCTATGAGCTAGGGGTCAGTAAAATCTAACTTGGTGAGGCATCATTTTTTTCATTTTGTACAAGAACAAAGAAATGCAGATAAAGAAATAGACAATATCACTGACCATACCCAATATGTATTTAAGTAATCCTTTTTTTCCATCTTTGCCCTCACGCTGTCTCAATTTCCTCCTTTCATTAGAGCATTTCAAAACCAAGTTCTCTAGGTTATATAAATTAATCTCAAAGCAGAGAGGCTGGCATAAATCTGACATGTCTAGAAGTGTAGAATAAAAGATTCTGCAGCTTTCAATTGCCTATTTTAAAGAAAATAAAAGCTGGTTTGTTCACTTGCTCAGCAGCTTTAAAAACAAATACAAAGGGTTCATGCTGTCATAGTTTTATTTTAAGGACAATACCATTGAAAGTCAGGTAACTGGATAACAAAAGCAAGATAGAAAAATACAAGAGAAAACAAAAGTAGACACAATTTCATACAAGAAATATATTAAGTAACTAAGAAAAACCATCCTTTTTCCATATAAATTAATCCTAAAGCTAACCTTTTGTCCCAATTTTATTCTCTTTTCAATCCCTTCCAGGAACACAGAGTACTCACCTCCTTCTGCATGGTAAGTAAATGGCACTTGATTTCTAAGAGCTTTAAAAGGTAGCATTCTTTGGCCCACCTACTCATTTCAGGTGCAGCCATCATTTAAGTATTCCAAAGCATTTCCTATGTAGCTAAATGTGCAGATAAAAACATGTTTCTGTTTTCTCTAGGTGATTAAGGACAAAAGCTTTAGTTCATGGGCACTGTATATTTCATCCACTAGACTAGCTCTAAGAAACTGGTAAGTGTTCAGTATAATTAACCCAATAATTAGAATTATTAACGTGTTTCTATACTGACCTTTGCTTTTGATCCCAATGAAAGATCAGCCGTACTGTAGCAGCATGTCCCCAACTTTCCCCTGAAAGAAAAAGAACACAATGATTGTATAATGCCTTACTGAATAAGTTATAAGTCTCTCAGCATTCCTCTGGCCAAATACAGTTTTACTTTGCTTAATTTAACATAATGAGAGTATACTTGGTTTCAAAAAACCTGGTACGGGGATAACACCCTGAGATTAATGGATTTTTACATATCTAAGAAGACACTGCAGATCAATATCTTCTAGTTCTTTTTAGAAAATTTTATAGTTTGAGTTAACATATTTATCAATCTTTCATATTTCAGGACTAACATGTTTCTGACCACCAGAAAAAAAAACAAAAACTCTGACATACTATTCTTAAATATCTTAGTAGAAATAAATCTTGAAGCATTGTATTCTAACAAAACCATGATTGAGGTTAGGAACAAAATCATAAGCCTATTCACTTTAGTGTAATTTGTATTTGAATAGATTCACCCTTCCTCCTGCCTAAGACTGTGAGCTTTCTGAAGGTGAAAATCATCGTATGAATATTATATGCTCAGTACCTGGCACAATAGTTGCTACATAGTAGATACTGAATTAATGTTTGTTAAAGGAAAGGATGAGTCAGTATATAAGGGCACAGTGCTCTGTGCTAAGATTTTTCAGTGACTAAGACAGATATAATCTCTGCTTTCATGGAGTTTATAGTATTCAATAAGCATCAAATGAAAGTAGAAAAAATGTGTTTAACTGAAAATGTTTATCTGATTTAATACCCACCCAATGCTGGTATCAGCAAGGCCTGATTTCTATCAATCTTTGTTGTCATTTGATTAGTTAAAATTACCTACAAAAACAAAATGTAAGAAAATTAAATGAGTTTTCCCCAAAATTTCTCAAATAATAGTCCTGTGATTTTAGTATTCTGAATATAATCTAATTTAAAGAAAGACATATTTAGGTAATCAAAACTTTTCTGATAATTTTTTTTAAAACTTACACATAAAAAAAATAAAACTTACCCATAAAAATTAGTAGTTATCTGAAAACATGAGTCTAATGAACAAAACTTTTTATTTAATTTAATTATTTATTTTTAATCCTTACCCAAGGATATTCTTCCATTTATCTTCAGGCAGAGTGGGAAGTAGAGAGAGGGGGAAGGAGAGAAACATCGACGTGAGAGGGACACAACGACTGGTTGCCTCCCGCACGACTCCGACCAGGGCCAGGGATGAAGCACAACCAAGGTACATGCCCTTGACCAGAACTGAACCCACGACTCATTGGTCCGACACTGTAACTGCTGAGCCAAACTGGCCAGGGCCATAAAACTTTTTAACAAATAAGAACAAAGAAGTTCTTATTGTGAAAATGGAAGAAAAATATAATAGATCATACATAAAGGCCTAAAGAGACCATGCACAAAAACTTCATAACTGGGAGAATCAAGAAAAACCAAGCTTTTAAATGTAAGTTTTGTATAAGGCAATAGGAACAACCAGTATAATCGCAGAAACATCAGTAGTGGTAATAAACATTTCTGAGTACTTAATACATGCCAGAAACCATGCTAGTCCTTTACCTTCATTGTCTTATCTAATCTCCACAACTACACTATGAATGAGGTATTATTATTGTTATTATTCCGGTTTAACACACGAGAAATCAAAAGCTTAGTAAGATTTGAGTCTGTGTTCCTCAGCACTTTTGTGGAATATATTTATATCAAAAGAACATAAAATTCTTAATAACTTAATGCTTACATTTTAGGGAAGAAACAAATACAGAATTATGATTTATGATTTTTACAGAAAAAAGAAACAGAAGCAAAGAATTATGAGAAGAGACCTAAAATCAAAGAATGTACAGTAGAAGTAGAACTGGGGGAAAAAAAATAAAACTCAGTAATCAGGTCAAATGACCCCAAATTGTGACAATGTTAGTCTGCTGATAATAGATACAGGTGTGTTTTAGTCACAGATGGCACTAAAGGCTAAAAATATTGCTAATTCTTTTGGATTAAATACTGGCCTATAGAAAAGATCCCATGTTTTGAAAGTGGAAATAAATAAAAGTGTTTAAGGCTGACTTAATACAGTAAAAGTCAGATTATCTGACACCTTTTTATCCAAAATTCTCCGGAAATGGTTATTTTAAATATTCTTCCAATACAGGTCTTCCCTCCAGATATAAGACAAATACTACTGCAAAATGAAACTGATATAGAACTTCTATGAAAAGCAATGAGAAAAGGTACCTACTCTGAAAAATACATCAGTTTCATAAAATAACTGAGAAAGAAAAGGCTGTTTGGCTATTGCTACTGCAGTGATAACACCCTAAAATTTTTGGTTATCTACAAAGGAGAAATCTGTGATCCACCTAGATCTCAGTTAGTCAAGGATGACATGACTTTCTACTAGTTCTCCCTTTAAGTGCCATAGTTGGCTTCCCCATGTGTTTCAGGCCAGGAATCTTAGAACAAACACAGGAATTAAAATTGGTAATTAGCAGAAATATATGACTAATTGGCATCCCCAACATGCTGAATAATATAATTTACTGTACATACTATCAAGTGTTTAAGCTCTAACAACTGAGATTAATTACTTATACCAACACTTTTTTGTTAGACATGCACTATCCAATTCTGCAGCCATTAGCCACAAATAGCTTTTTAAAATTAAATTATAGCCCTGGCTGGTTTTCTCAGTGGTTAGAGTGTTGGCCCATGGATGAAAGAGTCGAGAGTTCGATTCCGGTCAAGGGTATGAATCTCAATTGCAGTTCGGTCCCTGGCCCTGATCGGGGCGCTGTGGGAGGCAGCCAATTGATGTCTCTCTCTCATTGATGTTTCTCTCTCTCCCCACCTCTTTCCCTCCTTTCCTTTCTATCACTCTATCTGAAAATCAATGGAAAAATATCCTCAGGTGAGAATTTTAAAAAATTAAATTATAAAAGTAGAAATTCAGGCCCAGCTGGTGTGGCTCAGGGGTTGCGCATCAACCTATGCACCAGGAGGTCCCCTGTTCCATTCCCAGTCAGGGCACATGCCTAAGTTTTGGGGTCCATCCCCAGTAGGGGGTATGCAGGAGGCATACCAATCAATGTTTCCCTCATCATCGATGTTTCTCTCTCTCTCTTTCTCTCCCTTCCTCTCTCTGAAACCAATAAAAACATATTAAAAAAACACAAAAACTAGAAATTCAGTTTCTCATTGGACTAGCCATATTTCAAGTGCTTAATAGCCATAGAAGTACTATATTAAACTGAGCATTTTCATCTTTGCAGAAAGTTCTATTAGACAGGTTTAGGGAGTAGTTAATCTAATATATTATCTTCAGGAAAATGTGAATAGACATACTGCTTACCAGATGTTAAACATCCCAAAATTAGAATTTGCATTGTTAGTAACTATTTATAAAATAATTACACTACGTCTGTAAAAATGCTGGGTTTACCAGAATCCATATGAAAATTATTGGGTAATTACTCCAAGCTCTTAATTTAAAATAATGAAGTAATAATCATTTTGAAATTAACTTCATTGTGTCCAGCCGGCGAAGCTCAGTGGTTAAGCGTCCACCCATGCACCAAGAGATTGCCAATTCGATTCCAGGTCAGGTAACATGCCCAGGTTTTAGGCCCAATCCCCAGTGGGGAACATGTAGGAGGCGATGTTCTCTCTCATCAGTGTTTCTATCTCTCTCTCCCTCTCCCTTCCTCTCTCTAAAAATCAATCAAGAAAAAAAATGTTTTAAAAAAAGAAATTAACTTCATTGCTTTAAAAATACTTTTGCTACCAAAATGTCCTTCAATTGATGAACAGATAAACAAAATGTGGTACATAAAGAAAATACAAAAGTATTCAGTCACAAGAAGGATATTGATACATGCTACAACATGGATGAACTTAAAACATTATGCTAAATGCAGGAAGCCAGACATAAAAGACCACATACTGTATGATTCTACTTATAGAAAATATCCAGAAATCCGGCCGTTGTGGCTCAGTGGTTAAGCATTGACCCATGCACTAAGAGGTCACTGGTTCGATTCCCGGTCAGGGCACATGCTCAGGTTGTGGGCCCAATCCCTAGTGGGGGGCATGCAGGAAGCAGCCAAATAATGTTCTCTCTCATCAATGTTTCTATCTCTCTCTCCTTCTCCCTTCCTCTCTGTCTAAAATCAATAAAATAAAAGGAAGTTTAAAAAGAAAAGGAAAGAAAAGAAAATATCCAGAAATGCCCAGCTGGTGTGGCTCAGTAGATTGAGTGTCATCCCATGGACTGAGGTCCTGGTTCAATTTCTGGTTGGTGCACATGCCCAGGTTGCAGGCTCGATCTCCAGTAGGGGGTGAGCAGGAGGCAGCCTATGGATGTTTCTCTCTCACATCAATGTTTCTCCCTCTCTCCCTTTCCCTTCCTTTCTCTCCAAAAAATCAATAAAAACATACTTTAAAAGAAAGAAAATATCCAGAAAAGACAAATACATAAAGACAAAAAACAGACTAGTGGTTGTTAGAAGCTAAAGGGAGGGTGCAATGGGGAGCTAATGGGGGCAAGGGATTTCTTTTGGGGATGATAGAAATGTTCCAAAATCACATAGTAGTGATGCTTGCACAATGCTGAATATACTAAAACCACTGAATTGTATACTTTAAAAGGGTGAATTTTATGGTATGCTAATTACAACTTAATAAAACTGTCAAATAAGCACTTCAGCTAACAATCAAATACATGCATCTCTAAAAAGATTCCACATCAGTATGGCAAAGATTTAAAAGACTCAAAGTTGGGCCCTGGCCAGTTTGGCTCAGCGGTTAGAGCGTCGGCCTGCGGTCCGGAGAGACCCGGGTTCGGTTCCCGCTAAGGGCGCGTACCTCAGTTGCAGTTTGTCCCCGGCCCTGGTTGGTCGTGCGGGTGGCAGCCACTCGATGTGTCACTTTCGCGTCGATGTTTCTCTCTCCCGCTCTCTTCCTCTCTCTCTCCCTCCCACTATCTGTGCAAAAAATGGAAAAATGTCCTCGGGTGAGGAAAAAAAAAAAAAAAAGACTCAAAGTTGGGCCCCACCGGTGTGGCTCAGTGGTTGAGCAGTCGACCCATGCACCAAGAGATCACCGGTTCAGCTCCTGGTCAGTACACATGTCCAGATTGTGGACCCAATCCCCAGGGTGGGGCATGCAGGAGGTGGTCAATCAATGTTCTCTCTCATCAATGTTTCTATCTCTCTCTCCTTCTCCCTTCCTCTCTAAAATCAATAAGGAAAATAAGATAAAAAACTGCAATCATACAGCAAAATATTATGTAATTAAGGTAAGGTAGACTTGTACAGTAGTGTATATGGAAAGATGTTCACAATATATTAAGTGAACAAAATACTGCTTTGCATAATAGCACACATAACGAGATCTTACTTTAAAAACATGTTTATGGCCCTGGCCACTTTATCAGTGGTTAGAGCGTAAGCTCTTGGACCAAAGAGTCGCTGGTTCAATTCTGGTCAAGGGCACGTACCTCGGTTGCAGTTCGGTCCCTGGCCCAGGTTGGGGTCATGTGGGAGGCAACCAATAGATGTGTCTCTCTCACATTGCTGTTTCTCTCTTGCTCTCTCGCTCCCTCCCTCCCACTGTCTGAAAATAAAAGGAGAAATAGCCTCATGTGAGGATTAAAAATAAATAAATAAAATAAAATTTTAAAAATGTTTATGTATGCATAAAGTTTAGAAAAATATGTACACCAAATTCAACAATAATCTTCAAGCAATAAATAATATAATTGCTTACTTTCTACATTTTGATAGCTTATAATTGTTTTTTACAGCAAACACCTAAATTAAAATTGTAAAATATATTTATCAAAGTTCATATATGCTTCTATATCTGCTACTTAGAAAATTAAAAATCAAGCTAAAAGAAATTTATAAAGTAAGAGAAGAAAGTATGCCCTCAATCCCATGAAATCCTCTCTCTAGAAGTAACCACTGTTAAGGTTTTGGTCCTCTCAATATTTTTCTTCATAGAAAGAAATATAAATGCTCACATATAATTTTTATTTTCTCTCAAAAGTGGGAGCCACTTGCATGGTCGGTGTGGCTCAGTGGATTGAGCGTCGTCCCAGAGACTGAGATCCTGGTTTGATTCCAGGTCAGGGCACATGCCTGGGTTGTGGGATTCATCCCAAGTAGGGGGTGTGCAGGAGGCAGCCTATCAATGTTTCTCTCTCACATCGATGTTTCTATCTCTCTCTCCCTTCTTCTCTCTCTAAAAAATAAATAAAAATATATTTATAATTTTAAAAAAGTGGTAGCCACTAAATATATTGTCATGCAACTTGAAAATTTTCACTTAATGATATATCTGGATATATCTTGTTTCATGTTAGTATGCATATATTTACATTAATCTCCTTAAAACACTGCATGGTATTCCATATTATTTGCATTACCTTTTTTTTTTTAAATCAGAAAAGATAAAGCTATTTCTGTTAAAAACAAAAACCTAAGAAACTATGCAACCCATTAGTCTTGAGTGCCCCCTACTGGAGGCTCTTCGTTGATATTAACAATGCATAAAATTACAAATTAATGGAAAGAAATAATTCAGACAGGACACTATGCTTTTCAGTACATGGCAAAAAAAAATCTAATAGCTCAAAAAAAAAATGTATGTTCTGAAATTATTTTATTGAGGAATTCTTTAATTTATGATGTATTATAGATTTATGCTAAGGACTCAGAGTAAAGAGAAGAAAATCAAGTTAAGCAGTGTGACCGCCCATTTCCCTCACAGACAACTGTGTATATTTTTGTCAGTGGTGGGATAGGGCTGGAGTGGGAAGTGCTGGCAAAAAGAAAGTTAAAAAAAAGTTTTTGCCTCACTCCTTTTTATCTCTTCACTTTTGAACTTATCTTTACCTCTCCTCACATTTCAAATCTAGAAAAGTTAACTTCACCTCCAAACACTTTGGCTGTTTACACTATGTAATTTTCCTATCTGAGTCTGTGATTATACATGATGTAATAATCAAAGGCTCAAATTAAAAGAAAAATGGAAATGTTGTAAGAGCTTATCTAAAACATATCAAGTATGTTTAGACAAAGAAAACACTGCAATCATCAAAGGTGGCATTTCTTTATCAAAGTCCATCTTCAAAATATGGTATCTTGATTATCCTTATTATTTTCCAGGAAAACTGATACACAACACTTTTGGCTGGAATTAATTTTTTATAGTAACCAAATCAAAACAAAACTACGCCCAGCCGATGTGGCTCAGAGGATTGAGCGTTGTCCCATGGTCTGAGAGGTCCCAGTTCGATTCCTAGTCAGGGCACATGACCAGGTTTTGGGTTCGATTCCCGGTGAGAGGAGTACAGGAGGCAGCCAATTGATGTTTCTCTCTCACATAGATGTTCCTATCTCTCTCTCCCTTACTCTCTCTCTCTACAAAAATCAATAAAAACATATTTTTAAAACAAAAAAAACAAAACTACATTTAAAACTATGTCTAGCCTGGCCAGTGTGGCTCACTGGTTGAATGCCAACCCATGCACCAAGAAGTTGCCGGTTCATTCCTAGTCAGGGCGCATGCTCAGGTTGTGGGCCAAGGCATGCTGGAGGCGACTAATTGATGTTCTCTCTCATTGATGTTTCTATCTCTCTCTCCCTCTCCATTTCCCTCTCTCTCTAAAAATCAATAAAGAAAAAAATTTTTTTAAAAAACCTGTGTCTAGGGTTCTTTAGGGCTAGAGGAATCCTGAAACCATGGATCACCCATATATGCTGAGACATGTGTTAGATGCTTTTTTTTTGGAAGCCCTGCAACTACCCTAAAATTGAATGTATTGTAGAACAGACCTATGGTGCCAATGGGTCATGTTTGGTTAGAAGGTGATGATCTACAGAATTCTACAGATTCCAGGTACTATGGACTTATTTCTTATGGACTAATAAGAGGATATATATTCTTTAAGATGTGTCCTCTGAGTGATTTTGGATTTCTACCTGATAGCCCTAATGGCCACAGATTTTCTGATGATTAGCCAGTATTTATTCTTTTGGTTTGATTATTGTCTCCTGTTTAAGTGAAGTTATTATTGCCACTGAAACCATGTACTTATTAATAAACTATCTGCTATTAAAAAAAAAACAAAAAACTGTGTCTATATTATTTCCTTTTAGTCAGGCAAATTCTATTCTCCTATTTCTAGACATTAATATTTGATACAATCTTATTAACTATAATAAAATTCTCTTAATCATTATACTTACAGCTAATCTGTGATTATTTGCAAGGCTGATCATTTGCTGGGCTAGGCCATTTAATAATCGAGTTCGAAGGGATAAGTCATCAAAGTCATGACGAAAAGGAAAAGCAATACCATCCACTATCACTAATCGAACCTAAATAAAGAAGAGATAATATTAGGTTTGGTATTAAAAATAGAACTGAAGCCCGGCCAGTGTGGCTCAGTGGCTGAGCATCGACCCATGCACCAAGAGGTCACCAGTTCAATTCCTGGTCAGGGCACATGCCCAGGTTGTGGGCCCAATCCCCAGTGGGGGGCGGGCAGGAGGCAGCCCATCGGTGTTTCTCTCTCACATCGATCTTTTTATCTCTTTCTCCCTTCTTCTCTCTCCAAAGCAAAACAAACATATTTAAAATAAATAGCCCTGGCCAGTTTTGCTCAGCAGTTAGAGCATCAGCCCATGGATCAATGAGTCACAGATTTGATTCCAGCCAAGGGCACATACCTCGATTGCAGTGTGGCCCTGGCCCTGGTCGGGGTCGTGTGGGAGGCAGCCACTCGATGTGTCTCGCTCACATTGATGTTTCTCTCTCTCTCTCCCTCCCTCCATCCCATTCTATCTAAAGATAAATAGAAAAATATCCTTGGGTGAGGATTGAAGAAAAAAAATAAATAAAATAAAATTGATATAAAAGGCACAGTACATTGCATTAAAAAATCTTAATATCTAGTGTTCTATTTCCAACTCTACAAAGGTTTTATTTTGGGTATTTATGTATTTATTCATCCAATGCTTTTCTTTCTCTTTTTTTTTTGGCCTAGGGAGAGGGGGGCACCGAGGGAGAATGTGAAGGAAAATTATCCAGTGTTTTAAAAAAATCCTTACCCCATGGAAGTAGGGTACAGACTGACAACCCTCAGAAGAGGGGATGTAGGGGAGAGATAAACCACAGAACTTATATGCATGTACACATAAGCAATGGACATGGACAACAAAGCTGGAGACAGGGTGGGGGGAATGGGGAGGAGGGTGTCAATGGGAAAAAAAGGAGAAACATCTGTAACAAAAATAAATTAATTAAAAAAAATCCTTACCCAAGGATATGTTTATTGATTTTATTTATTTTTTAAATATGTATTTATTGATTTTTTAGGGGGAGAGGAAGAGAAATAGAAACATTGATGAGAGAGAAACATTGATTTGCTGATTCCTACACACCCCCCATTAGGAGATCAAGCCTAAAACCTAGGCATATGCCCTGACCAGGAATTGAACTGGTGACCTCCTGGTGCACAGGACCATGCTCAATCCAATGAGCCACACCAGCTGGGCAATTTACTGTTTACTAATTTTAGAGAGAGGAAGGAGCGGGGAGAGAGAGAGAGATACATCGATTGTTTGTTTGCATCCCATACTCGCCCCTGGGGTTTTAACCCACAACCTAGGTATGTGCCCCGACTGGGAATTGAACCCACAACCTTTTTGGTGGACAGGATGCTGCTCCAACCAACTGAGCCACCCGCCAAGGCAATTCATCCAATGTTTCTGCACTAATCACTAAAAATTAAAAAGTAATCTTGTTTGATCATTTATCTGCTTAAAAAAGTAATTCAGCGAAAAGAAAAAGAAGCATTTACAATTTTCTTATCAGTTACCACTATATATAGTCTTTACAGAGGTATTTTACTGACAAAAAGCACTTTTTAAAGTCTTAAATTTATCAGTTAAATACATCACTTTTACCTTCAGGATTTCTTTTATGTTTAAAAAAAAACTCTTCAAGTATTAAATTTAATACCTTCTTCAAAAACTTAATGGTAAACATTTTCCCCTTAATTTTTTTTTTGTATGTTTTTTATTGATTTTTTAGAGGGAGAGGGAGTGAGAAATAGAAACATCTATGAGGAAGAGAAACATCAACATCGATTGACTGCCTCCTGCATGCCCCCTACAGGGCATCAAGTGCCGCAACCCAGGCATGTGCCCTGACTAGGAATCGCAAACCCAGCGACTTCTTGGTGTATAGGTTGACACTCAACCACTGAGCCACACCAGCCAGGCTCCCCTTAGTTTCAAATATACTACAGGGCAACTAACAGAATCTGTTATAATACAGAATTCTGCATGAGGCAGGTTTGTCTTGAAGGTTTACTTATAGATGATAAACATTTTCATGACAGTTTCATTTCTAATACAATCCAAATAATGGCTCCTACAGTGAACTTAGAGTAAACAAAGAAAAACTACAAGATATTTTTTTCTTTCTAAGAAGGATTAGGCTAAAGAGGCTTTTGTGAAGCAATGTATAAGCCATTTTTATATCTTTTATTTAGACCATTCATTCATTCAGTAAATATTTATTCACACCTACTGTATGCTAGTCACTGTTACAGGTATTGAGGAACAAGAGATAAGGTTCCTGCTCTCTTGGAGATTATGTTCTAGTAGAGTAAGAGACAATTAACATGCAAAGACATATATAAATAAAATAATTTCTGATAATGACAGCAGCTAGGAAGACACTATAACTGGGTGAAAATGACTAAGAATAAGTAGGTATTGGGAGGCTAACTTAAACTAGATGTGAGGGAAAGCATCAATGAGAAGTCAGGCAACAAAACTGAGTCCTGGATAAGAGCCTCTAGGAGAAAAAGACAATCTACGTATAAGGAGTAGGAAGGGCAAAGGACCTAAGACACAAATAAGTTTGGCATGTTTAAGGGTCAGAAAAAAGTAGTGAGAGGGAATGGAAGGACATTATATCAGGAAGGTATAATGATGAACTAAAGCCAAATCCTACAAGCTGCTGAGTCAAGTGCTAAATTTTCAGAAACTTTGCAAATTAATCATTAAATACAGCCATTAAAAGTAAAAAAAACTATATAATTTTATGAGTAAATAAATCATATTAGTATATGGATAAAGTAAAATATAAAAATAAATACTGAAAATTCATTTCTTTTTAATTATTTTATATTTTACTATTATCTATGCTCTTAAGATTATTTGCACCTATTTTACCTTTTTTTTTTACCCTCACCCGAGGATATTTTTCTATTTATCTTCAGATAGAGTGGGAGGGAAAGGGAGAGACAGAGAAACATCAATGTGAGAGGGACACATCGACTGCCTCCCACATGACCCCAACCAGGGCCGGGAACAAACCGCAACTGAGGTACATGCCCTTAGCCGGAATCGAACCCACAACTCATTGGTCCATGGGCCGATGCTCTACCACTGAGCCAAACCAGCCAAGGAGTACCTATTTTATCTTTTTTTTTTTTTTTTTTATCCTCACCCGAGGACATTTTTCCATTTTTTGTTCAGGTAGAGTGGGAGGGAGAGAGAGGAACAGAGAGAGAGAGAAACATCGATGTGAAAGGGCCACTCGCACAACCCAACCAGGGCCAGGGACAAACTGCAACCGAGGTACGTGCCCTTAGCGGGAACCGAACCCGGGTCTCTCAGGACCGCAGGCTGACGCTCTAACCGCTGAGCCAAACCGGCCAGGGCCCTATTTTATCTTAATAGTGGAACTACTACAAAGTGATGTGCTACAGTATATTGTTTCCTCTCTACTCTATGTTTAGTGACATCACATTGGTAGCTTGAAATCTCCCATGAAAGGATTTTCTATGTCGAAATCAGCAAATAAATCAGCTACAGATGAGGACTTGATTTGTTTAGCTGATTGTCTAAACTTTTAATAAAGTTATAGGGAAAATGTCAAAATCACATTGACCTTTAAAATGTGTTGTGTCGCCTGGCTGGTGTGGCTCAGTGCTTGAGCATTGACCCATGCACCAAGAGGTCGCCAGCTCGATTCCCAGTCAGGGCACACACCCAGGTTGTGGGCCCAATCCCCAGTGGGGGGCATATGGGAATAGGTCAATCGATGTTCTCTCTCATGGATGTTTCTCTCTCTCTCCCCCTCTCCTTTCCTCTCTCTCTTTCTCTGAAATCAATAAAGAAAAAAAAATGTGTCTATACCCATTATATTGTGAACTACACAAAAATTGAGAAAATACTATTCTAATAGAAAACTAATGATTTAACTAGGTATAATAATTAGCTCAAATCATCAGAAAAATATTCCATAGGAAAACTCCATATAATTATAGGGGTTTTTGTTGTTAATCTTCACGTGAGGATATTTTTTCCATTGATTTTTAGAGAAAATGAAAGCGAAGGAGGGACAGACAGAGAGAGAAAGAAACATCTATGTGAGAGACACATTGATCAGCTCCCTCCTACATGCGCCTTGGGGGCCAGGGATAGAACCTGCAGCCCAGGCACAAGCCCTTGACCAGAAATTGAACCCATAACCCTTCAGTCCATGGGCTGACACTCTAACCACTGAGCACACTAGTCAGGGCTAATTATAGGTTTTGACACCAGGATATTTGCAGGGAGCCCCAAATACCCAGGGCATCCAAAGACCTCTCTGCTCATGTCAGAAGACCTGTATAGCCTATCCTCCAAAGGACAAAAATTGGGAACTGCCTGTTTTTCCTCTCCACAATCCAGATTTTACTGAAAGTGGCTAAATTACAAAGATCTGGACTGTCTTCTAAGTGGTAACTATTCACACTGATAGCTTTCCCCAAGTTTAGGATGGAAGTTCTTAGATATGCTATGGTGAATATCCTTGGTTTCTCAAAAGGGAGAGTATACTGAAGATAGAAAGCCAATAAATTACAGAGTGAGTAAGATAAAACGAAGATTGTCATTTAACTCATAAAAGCTGAAAGTAAAAAGTTACCAACTGTGGCCCTGACCTGTGTGGCTCAGTTGATAGGGTGTCATCCAGTGAACTAAAAGGCTGCTGGTTTGATTCCCGGTCGGGCACACGCCAAGGTTGTGGGCCCAATCCTCAGTGGGCGGCATGCAGGAGCAGCCAATCGATGTTCTCTCTCATTGATGTTTCTATCTCTCTCTCCCTCTCCCTTCCTCTCTCTCAAAAATCAATAAAGAAAAAAAAATTTTTTAAAGTCTATTTTCATTTATTTTAGGAACTGCCATACTGTTTTCTACAGCAACTATACCATTTTACATTCTCAACAGCAAAAAGTACCTTCTTAAGATGAAATATGTAACTGAAAAAAGAATAAGGTCTATCTGTATGTAATGATATAGAAAGACATGCAAAATGCTAAGCCAAAACAGAAGGAGCAGAACAATTTAACAGTATAATTCCATGAACATATGTTAAAAATGGGGAGCTAGATATTAAAATATGTATAAAAAATTTTTGTCTGGCCGGTGTGGCTCAGTGGTTGAACGTCAACCCATGTACCAAGAGGGTGCCGGTTCAATTCCTAGTCAGGATACATGCCCAGATTGTGGGCCCAATACCCAGCTGGGGGCGAGCAGGAGGCAGCCAATCCATGTTCTCTCATCATCGATGTTTCTATCTCTCCCTCTCTCTCACTTCCTCTGTCTAATCAATAAAGGAAAAAAATTTTTTTTTAATTTTTTTTTTGTGTGTGGTATGTGCCCCTAGCGGGAACTGAACCTGAGACTCTCTGGTCCACAGGCCGACACTCACCGCTGAGCCAAACCGGCCAGGGCAAATTTTTAAAACTTTTTTGATAAGACACACAAGAACTATTAATAGTGGTCAACTTTGGGGAGAGGTACTAGGAAGCAGCAGCAGAAGAGAATTGTTATTTTTCATTTTATCCCTCTACAATTTGTTTGATAGGAGTTATTCCACCTTTAGTGGAGATGGAACCTCTTTTTATATTATTTCAATTTCTTACTTTGGGCATAACATTAATATGTACATGCTAAATAAATATAAACATAAATAAACTGTAGGCCAAGGAATAAAGAAAATTTCTGAATTGCTTAATCAAACACCTCATAAAATACTTAATTATATTTCAGTACTTTGAGCCATACCTTAGAGTGTTCCAAAAGGAAGTCTGAAAGTAGATAAACTTGTGCCAGTAGCTCTGTGTAGTCATGACAACGAAAATAATAAATATGGGAAAGAATATTTTCAAGAGTAAAATTCTCCAAAGCCTTTGGGTGTGCTGAAATAAAAAACAAAATAATCTTAAAATAGTGTTAACTGTTTTTGATACATTGGTGACAACATAAAAACAATACCTTTGAATAACAAAATGCTTCACTGTGAATAACAAAACTCTTGACTTTAATTGAAAGATGATAAAATTGTACCGAATTACTATAAATTATCATTTCCTAATTCCTATCCTATTTTCACCCTTTCCACCATTTCCTTATATACTACACTATCTAGAAATTGTTTATACACATATACAACTAGTTTGTTTGTTTCTTTTGGTATGTGCCCCTAGCAGGAACTGAACCCGGACTCTCTGGTCTGCAGGCCAATGCTCCAACCGCTGAGCCAAACCGGCCAGGGCATACAACTAGTTTTTAATACCTGCCTTTTCATATTTCTAGTTATTGGCTTCCGCTGAATATAAGTAACATAATGGAATTTCTCTTTCTTGTTTTTTTCATAGAACTACAGGCTATAAACTAACAGTTAAAAGGAAAAATGTTCAAAAGAGGCATTGTCCCCCTTAAATGCTATAGTATAACTTGATTTAAGTAGAAACAATGACATAAAATTAAATTCCCTTCTTAGATTGGATTTTAAAATAAGCAGTTTGGCCCTGGATGATGTGGCTCAGTGGTTAGAGCATCAGTCCTTGCACTAGAGTCATAGGTTCGATTCCCAGTCAAGGGCACATACCTGGGTATCAGGCACATTCCCTAGCCTGTTGGGGCGTGTGGGGGAGGCAACAGATCATCTTGTCTCTCTCACATCAATGTTTCTCTCCACCCCACATCACACTCTCTTGAAAAAAAAAAAAAATCAATGGAAAAAACTATCCCCATGTGAGAATTAAAAAAAAAAAAGAAAAGAAAAAAAAAAAAAAAGCCCTGGCCGGTTTGGTTCAGCAGTTAGAACACCGGCCTGCGGTCCGGAGAGACCCGGGTTCAGTTCCCGCTAAGGGCGCGTACTTCGGTTGCAGTTTGTCCCTGGCCCTGGTTGGTCGTGCGGATGGCAGCCACTCGATGTGTCCCTTCACGTCGATGTTTCTCTCTCTCTCCCTTCCTCTCTCTCCCTCCCACTCTATCTGTACAAAAAATATCCTCAGGTGAGGATAAAAAAAAAAAAAAAAAAAGCAGCAGCAGCAGTTTGGCTTTGTATATATTTCAAAAAAGAGCCACTTAAAAATTATTGCATTTTATTTATTTATTTATTGTTGTTGTTGTTGAAAGTACTACAGATGCCCTCCTTTTTTCCCCATTGACCCCCTCCTTCCCACTCCCAGCCCCCTCTTGCCTTCCCAGCCTAGTGTCCCTGTTGATTGGTTGTGCATATATGCATATAGTTCCTTGGTTTATCTCTTCCCTCCCCTCCCACCCCCATCTCTCTGAATTTGTCAGTCTGTTCCCTACTTCCATGATTCTGGATCTCTTTTGGTTGACAGCTTATTTTGTTCATTATGTTCCACAAATAAGTGAGATCCTGTGGTACTTGTCTTTCCCTGACTGGTTTATTTCACTTAGCATAATACTCTCCAGGTCCCTCCATGTCCTCTCAAAGGATAAGAGATCTTTTTTTCTTACAGCTGCATAGAAATTGTTGCATTTTAAAATGTACTTAAGCCCTGGCCGGTTTGGCTCAGCGGTTAGAGCGTTGGCTTGCGATCTGGAGAGACCCGGGTTCGGTTCCTGCTAAGGGCACGTACCTCGGTTGCAGTTTGTCCCCGGCCCTGATTGGGTTGTGTGGGTGGCGACCACTCGATGTGTCCCTTTCATGTCGATGTTTCTCTCTCTCTCTCTCTCTCTCCCTCCTTCCCACTCTATCTGAACAAAATATCGAAAAATGTCCTCAGGTGAGGATAAAAAAAAAAAAAAGTACTTAAGCCCTGGACAGTCTTGCTAAGTGGTTAGAGTACTGACCCAAGGACCAAAGGGTCATGGGTTTGATTCTCAGTCAAGGGCACAAACCTCAGTTGCAGGTCCCATCCCTGGCCCTGGGCAGGGTGGTGTGGGAGGCAACCAATCGATGTGTCTCACATGGATGGTTCTCTCTTTCTCCCTCCTTTCCTGTCCCTCCCTTTCTCCCTTCTGCTCTCTCTCTTAAAAAATCAATGGAGCCCTGGCTGGTTTGGCTCACTGGTTAGAGTGCCGGCCTGCAGACCAGAGACCCAGGATCGGTTCCCACTAAGAGCATGTACCTTGGTTGCAGTTTGTCCCCAGTCGCGGTTGGGGTCATGTGGGTGGCAACCACTCGATGTGTCTCTCTCACATCAATGTTTCTCTCTCTCTCTCCCCCCTCTGTCCTTCCCACTCTATCTAAAGATAAATGCAAAAATGTCCTTGGATGAGGATTGGAAAAAAAAAATCAGTGGAACCCGGCCAGTGTGGCTCAGGGGTTGAGTGTCGATCCATGCCCCAAGAGGTCATTAATTTGATTCCTGATCAGGGCATATGCCCAGGTTGTGGGTCAAATCCCTGGTGGGAGGCATGCAGGAGGAGGCCAATCAATGTTCTCTCTCATCGATGTTTCTCTCTCTCCCTCTCCCTTCCTCTCTCTCTAAAACCAATAAAGAAAAAAAAAATAGCCCTGGCCAGTTTTGCTCAGCGGTTAGAGCATTGGTCTGTGGTCCAGAGAGACCACGGTTCAGTTCCCACTAAGGGCATGTGCCTCGGTTGCAGTTTGTCCCCGGCTCTGGTTTGGTTGCACGTGCGGGAGGCAGCCACTCGATGTGTCCCTTTCGTGTCAATGTTTCTCTCTCTCTCTCTCTCTCTCCCACTCTATCTGAACAAAAAATGGAAAAATGTCCTCAGGTGAGGATAAAAATAAAAATATAAAAATATCCTTGGGTGAGGATTAAAAACCAATAATAATAACTAAAATAAAATATACTTAAGTTTTAACACTGAAAAAAAACCCAAGAAGTTAAATTTCAGAAAACATTGCCTACTGCAAATGTACTTCTTTTTTTTTTTTTTATCCTCACCCGAGGACATTTTTCCATTTTTTGTTCAGATAGAGTGGGAGGGAGAGAGAGGAAGAGAGAGAAAGAGAGGAACATCAACGTTAAAGGGACACATCGAGTGGCTGCCTCTCCCATGACCCAACCAGGGCCAGGGACAAACCGCAACCGAGGTACACACCCTCAGCGGGAACTGAACCTGGGTCTTTCTGGACCACAGGCTGACGCTCTAACCGCTGAGCCAAACCGCCCAGGGCTATACTTCTTTTTTTACTATTGATTTTTAGAAAGGAAGGGAGAGGGAAAGAGAGAGAGAAACATCAATAGGCTACCTCCTACACCCCCCCCCCCATCCCACAGGGGATTGAGCCCAAAACCTGGGAACATGTTTTTGACTGGGAATGGAACCAGCAACCCTTCAGTGCACAGGATGATGCTCAACCAACTGAGCCACACCAGCAAGGGCCAAATATACATTTTAAGAGTTCATTTTCAACCAAAAAATGACACCTTCGTCTCACACCACTTACTAAAAACTGTACCTCCTAGTCCTATACCTACAATATTTACAATAAGATTTTAAGACACTATTACAGCCCTGGCCGGTGATTGGAACATCATCCCATACACCAAAAGGCTGTGGGTCAATTCCAGTCAGGGCACATACCTAGGTTGCAGGTTCAATCCCCAGTCGGGACGCCTAGGGGAGGCAGCTAATTGATGTTTCTCTCGCACATCAATGTTTCCCTCTCTCTCTCCCTTCCTGTCTCTCTAAAATCAATAAAAAACATATCCTCAGGTGAGAATTTTAAAACAAACAAGAAAACACTATTACAAATATATATTATGTCTACGGCCACACCACCCTGAACAAATCTGATCTTGTCTGATCTCACAAGTATACATTGTGATATGGGTAGCTTTAAAGACTTTCAGCAGATATACTGGTCATTTGTTAAAAAGGACACATAGCACTCCCATGAAAATAAAAATTTCCACCTGATCACAAACATTTAGAGAAAATACAAGCATATATGAAAAGCACTGTTTTTTGGAACTTCTGGAGAAAATAAAGACTACGTATTCAAAAAATAAAATATAATAAAACAAAGCAAATTTTAAAAAAGGTCTAACCGGAAACCATTCAATTTTATAAGTAATTGAAAGGACAAGAACTTGAATATAAATTACCTTTAAAAATATTTTTTTACTTTTATTTTCACATAATAAATGCAAAATTTTCTCAAAGACTAGCAATACAATTAACATAGTCATGAAGTCAATTACATATACTCATAGCCCCATTGGTCAATCGGCTTAATTCTCCAAATATTTCCAGACATGGTTTTTCTCAAGTACCTTTGGTTTTTGGAAAAAAACAGTATGATAGTCAATACACTGAATGCATTGAATACAGTAAATGCACTGAGACAACACTTATATTAAACTTCCATCAAAATTATTTTATACCTGGCAGGTCAGTATGATTTGAAGTCACACTCTACACTGAAATACGTACACAAATTTTGCCCTAGAGCTCCTTCAGTAAGTGAGGGCCATAAAAGGTGAAGAAAAGGCCAAGTCAGGCTGTGGCATTTCTAATTTTTTTTTTATTGATTTTAGAGAGAGAGGATGGGAGAGGGAGAGAGATAGAAACATTGATGAGAGAACATCTATTGGCCGCCTCAGCATGCCCCCCACTGGAGATCTGGCCCACAACCTGGGCATGTGCCCTGACCAGGAATTGAACAGACAACCTCTTGGTGTGTGGGTTGACGCTCAACCACTAAGCCACACCAGCCAGGCGGCATTTCTAATTTTTAAGAGGGATATGAGAATTTAACATCAGTACACTGTCAAATCATTAAGCTTCACTTTCCAAAACTGTCTCTCATTAAGGTCTGTGTTGAGTACAAATGCAAATTTCTCTTATTTTACAGAAAAAGAGAATCACTTCATAACTTACCCTCTTCCATTTGTGTTCCTGCTATAAGCTGAAGGTGCTGGATGCAGGCAGTAGCAAGGTCTACCACTCTATCAACTATAAAACTTCCCTCTGTATCAATAAAAACTGCTTCACCTTCCACTCCTCCAAAACATTCTGGTATCTGCACATCTACTGCCAACTGCATACTATCAAGAGAAAGAAGTCAAAGGAACAAATCATTATCATGATTTTTTTTTATCCTCACCCGAGGACATTTTTTGATATTTTGTTCAGATAGAGTAGGAGGGAGGGAGAGAGAGAGAAACATCTACATGAAAGGGACACATCAAGTGGTCGCCACTTGCACGACCCAACCAGGGCTGGGGAAAAACTGAAACCGAGGTACGTGCCCTTAGTGGGAACCAAACCCGGGTCTCTCTGGACTGCAGGCCGATGCTCTAACTGCTGAGCCAAACCGGCCAGGGCATTATCATGATCTTTTAAAGTAGTGTTTTTCACCCAGGCAGTGTGGCTCAGTGGATTGAGCGTTGTCCCCTGGACAGAGGGATCCTGGTTCAATTCCCAGTCAGGGCATGTGCCTGGGTTGTGGGCTTGATCCCCAGGTGGGGGCCGTGCAGGAGGCAACCAATCCATGTCTATCTCTTGCATCGATGTTTCTGTCTCTCTCTCCCTTTCTGTCTCTAAAATAAAAAATAAATAAATAAAATAAAGTAGTGTTTTTCAAACTCCAGATCATCACCTATTAGGTACCACTAAATGTTTTATAAATGCAAATATATTCCCCCAAACAAGAGATGGCTGATTCTCCATGGCTCCAAATACAGGGTGGGGCAAAAGCAGGGTCCCAGTTGTGAGTACTCACAACATTCTATTCTTGTATTATTTCTTACCGATTATTGCATTATTTTCCATATAAACTCCTATAAACCTACTTTTGCCCCACCCTGTATATTTCAATTAATTGATGCTTGCATTAGGGATAGGGTGTGCTTATAAAATCATAATTAAGAAATTTTTATCTTTTTCTTTTCATTTATTTTCAGAGAGAGCAGGAGGGAGGGGGGAAGAGAGAGAGAAACATCGATGTGAGAGAGACACATTGAGTGGTTGCCACCCACACAATCCCAACCGGGGCAGGGACAAACTGCAACCGAGGTATGTGCCCTTAGCAGGAATCGAACCAGGGACTCTGGTCCATAGGCCAACACTCTAACCGCTGAGCCAAATTGGCCAGGGCTGGTTTTTTTTTTAATCCTCACCCATGGGAGGGAGAGAGACACATCGATTGTTTGCCACCCATACAACCCCAACCAGGGCCAGAGACAAACTGCAACCGAGGTATGTGCCCTTAGCCGGAATCAAACCCAGGACTCCTTGGTCGACAGGCCAACACTCTAACCACTAAGCCAAACTGGCCAGGGCTTAAATATGTTTTTATTGATTTTTTATTTTATTTTATTTTAGTATTGATTTTACAGAGAGGAAGGGAGAGAGAGAGAGAAACATCAATGTGAGGATCAGCTGCCTCCTGCAGACCCCCTACTGGGGATCAAGCCCACAACCTGGCATATGCCCTGACCTGGAATCCAATGAGGATCTCTCAGTCCATGGGAAGACGCTTAGTCCACTGAGCCACACTAGCCAAGCATGAGTCAAGAATTTTAGTGCTTGTTTAGGTCTCTGAGAATGGAACCTTTTCTTATTATATATAAATCTACTTTCAAACATTTGTCTTTCAAATATATTCTTGGGAATTAGCAATGTAATAAAGTAGAAAACTGCTTATTTATCCTAATGACTACATTACAATGTTATAAAAGAAACATTTTTTTCTTTATTGATTTTAGAAAGAGAGGGAGAGGGAGAGAGATAGAAACATCAATGAGAACCCTGGCCGGTTTGGCTGAGTGGTTAGAATGTCGGCCCATGGACCGGAGAGGCCGGGGTTTAGTTCCTGCTAGAGGCACGTACCTCGGTTGCAGTTTGTCCCTGGCCCCAGTTGGGGTCGTGTGGGTGGCAGCCACTCGATGTGTCTCTCTCTCACATTGATGTTTTTCTCCATCTCTTCCTCCCTGTCTCCCTCCCACTCTATCTGGGGACAAATGCAAAAATGTCCTGGGGTGAGGATAAAAAAACAAAACACAAACATCGATGAGAGAGAACATCGATTAGCCGCCTCCTGCATGCTCCCAGGGATTTGGCCCACAATCTGGGCATGTGCCCCAACTGTGAATCAATCCGGCAACCTCTTGGTGCACGGGTCAATGCTCAACCACTGAGCCACACCAGCCGGCTGAAACATTTTTTCTTTTTCTCTTTTTTATCCTCACCTGAGGATATTTTTCCATTTTTTAGTTCAGATAGAGTGGGAGAGAGAAAGAGGAAAAGAGAGAAACATCAATGTGAAAGGGACACATCGAGTAGCCACCTCCCGCATGACCCCAACCAGGGCTGGGGATGAACCACAGCCGAGGTATGTGCCCTTGACCGGAATTCAACCCGCGACTCATTGGTCCACGGTCTGACGCTCTAACCGCTGAGTCAAACCAGCCAGGGCTTATTTTTATTTATTTATTTTTTTTCTTTATTTATTTTTAGAGAGAGAGGAAGGGAGAAGGAGATAGAAACATCGATGAGAGAGAACATCGATTGGCTGCCTCTTGCACACACCCCACTGGGGGTTTGACCCATAACCTGGGCATGTGCCCAGACCAGGAATTGAACCAGCGACTTCTCGGTGCAGGAGTCGATGCTCATCCACTGAGCCACACTGGCCCGGCTGAAACATTTTTTATATCAAAATATTTGTATTAATTTATCAAGATGGGGTGTTAAAGTAACATAAATGTTAAGCTGGTTTTTGTTTGATGCATGTATGCAAACACAAAAAATTGTGAACACATACATGTCTTTTTTGGTCTGACTATAGACCCATAGCACAATATTCTATTATTACATAAAATGTTATTAAGCCCACCCTTAAGAAGGGAACATTTTAATTTACCATAGTTGTGTTTTTCCAACACCTGGTGCACCACAAATTTCTGTTGTTTTGGTTAAGGGTACTCCACCCCCAAGAATACTATCTAGTGCTGAACAGAAGGTAATTATGAAGTTCTGGGTATGCTCCTGCTCAAGAAGATCCAGTGCTGTACATTTCTTGCCTGACTCAGCTGTACCGGCATGTCCTGGTTTATCTGTGAGACATTCTCTTCTTATAATTTGCAGAGTTTCTAAGGCTTCCTCTTTAGATATCCCAACTTCTGAAAGTAGAGTAAGAAAAAAACATACCTGGCTTTAGAGATTAAAACAGTATAACATACATTTTGGTTGTCATTAATTTTTTTTCATTTTCTTTATTGTTGTAAGTATTACAGATGTTTGTCTTCGTTAATTTTAATTTTTAGATAACAAGTTGATACCAAGAGCAGAGAAACATAAAAATAAACATTCCAGCTCTGGCCTGTTTGGCTCAGCAGTTAGAGCATCAACCTGTGGACTGAAAGGTTGCAGGTTCAATTCCAGGTCAAGATCACGTACCTTGACTGTAGGTTTGATCCCCAGCCCTAGTGGTGATTATGCAGGAGGCAACCAATTGATGTATCTCACATCAATGTTTCTCTCGCACTCCTTCCCTTCCACTCTATCTAAAAAATCAATGGGCCCTGGCAGGTTTGGCTCAGCGGTTAGAGCGTTGGCCTGTGGTCCAGAGAGACCCGGGTTCGGTTCCCGCTAAGGGCACGTGCTTCAGTTGCAGTTTGTCCCCAGCCCTGGTTGGTCGTGCGGGTGGCAGCCACTCGATGTGTCCCTTTCACTTCGATGTTTCTCTCTCTCTCTTTCTTCCTCTCTCCCCCTCCCACTCTGTCTGAACAAAAAATGGAAAAATGTCCTTGGGTGAGGATAAAAGAAAAAAAAAAAAAAGCACTTCATCTTCGCCCTGACCAGTTTGGCTCAGCGGTTAGAGTGTTGGCCTGCGGTCCAGAGAGACCAGAGTTCGGTTCCCGCTAAGGGCATGTACCTCGGTTGCAGTTTGTCCCCGGCCCTGGTTGGGTTGTGCAGGAGGCAGCCACTCGATGTGTCCCTTTCATGTTGACGTTTCTCTCTCTCTCTCTTCCTCTCTTTCCCTCCCACTCTATCGGAACAAAAATGGAAAAATGTCCTCAGGTGAGGAAATAAATAAATAAATAAATAAATAAATAAATAAATAAAACCAATGGGAAAATGTCCTCTGGTGAGGATTAACAAACAAACAAAATGTAACATTCCATTAACTATTTCATCTTTCAAGTAAATAATGGCATTTGTGTTTTCTTAGTCTTCACATACTTAAAAGATTTACTACCTAAGAAATAGAATTCAAAAACCTAAACCTAAAGCATTTCTAAGTACCTACAAAAATATCTCAGGATGCAGAAATAAAATTGTACTAGCAGTAAGTCCTTTTACTCTCTCTTTTGGTCTTTTGAAGTCATAATTATCTTGCTCTCATAAGGTATACAAATTATTATTTTTTATTTTTTATCCTCACCCGAGGATATTTTTCCCTTTTTTGTACAGATAGAGTGGGAGGGAGAGAGAGGAAGGAGAGAGAGAAACATCGACGTGAAGGGACACATCGAGTGGCTGCCACCCGCAGACCAACCAGGGCCGGGGACAAATTGCAACTGAAGTACGTGCCCTTAGTGGGAACCGAACCCGGGTCTCTCCAGACCGCAGGCCGACGCTCTAACCGCTGAGCCAAACTGGCCAGGGCGGTATACAAATTATTTTAAGAAGAGAATGAAAATGGCCTCTTTAATTACCTAAAACAAGAATCAACTTTAAGAAGTGCATGTGACCCTGGCTGGTGTGGCTCAGTTGGTTGGAGCGTCATCCTGTGCACTGAAAGGTGGCAGGTTCAATTCCTTGTCAGGGCACATAGCCAGGTTTTGGGTTAGATCCTGGGTTGGGGCTCATAGAAGAGGCAACTGATCAATGTTTCTCTCTCACATTGATGTTTCTCTTTCTCTCATTCTCCCTTCTCTCTAAAATCAATTTTTAAAAAACAATTTGCTTTAAAAACAAAGTGCATGTGCATATATTATTCATAATAAAAAACTTTCCATGGAAACACTGGCATAAAAAATTCATGTATCACACCCTGGCTGGTTTGGCTCAGCGGTTAGAGTGTTAGCCTGCGGTCCAGAAAGACTCAGTTTCGGTTCCTGCTAAGGGCGCGTACCTGGGTTGCAGTTTGTCCCCGGCCCTAGTTGGTCATGCGGGTGGCAGCCACTCGATGTGTCCCTTTCACGTCGATGTTTCTCTCTCTCTCTCCCACTCTATCTGAACAAAAAATGGAAAAAAATGTCCTCGGGTGAGGATAAAAAAAATTCATGTATCACTCTAAGTTATTTAATGAGAAAAATTATTTGATGCACAATTATTTTAAACAATACACTTATGCTTTCCTCAACTACACAATTTCATTCACATATGACAATATGGCCTGAAAAAGAGAAAATGGTAATTACAAAACAAACTGCTGCCCTAGCCAGTGTGGCTCAGTGATTGGGCACCATCTTGTACACTGAAAAGTTACTGGTTTGATTTCCCTGTCCCGGCACATGCCACAGTTGTGGGCTCAATCTCTGGTAGTGGGTGTGCAGGAGGCAGTCAATCGATGTTTCTGGCTTGCTCTTGAACTCTCTATCCTCTATCTCTTAAAAACAAACAAACAAACAAAAACCAAGCTGCTAATAAAAAAAAAATAATGGTGAAGATGATATCACTTATGAGATTGATATATCAGTGCTTGATTTGGTAAGGTAAATCAATAGTTAACATTGAGTCTACATTTATTCTTTTTTTTTTTTAGAGTCTACATTTATTCTTGAGTGACTAGTAGAAATCTCCTTATTTACATTGTTAAGGACAGTGACTTAAAATCCTGTTCTTTCTTGCCCCACCCCAGTGCTTGAGCTGTCCACCACAGAGTCACTGTTTGGATTCCCCATCAGGGCACAAGCCCAGGTTGTGGGCCAAATTCCCAGTGGTGGGCATGCAAAGGCAGCCGCAGAGGCAGCCAATGTTCTCATCAATGTTTCTATCTCTCCCATTCCCTTCCTGTCTCCCTAAAAATCAATAAAGAAAAAATAAAGAAAAATCCTGTTCTTTCTTGATAGCATAGTTCTAGGCAAACCACAGTGGAATGCAATGTGCACAGTGAGACTGACTGCAGACAGCTTTATTTTTATATGCCTCAGGATGCGGTGGTTCCCACCAACTTACTATCTACAGTGTTCTGGCCCTGGCCAGTTTGGCTCAGCGGTTAGAGCGTCGGCCTGCGGTCTGGAGAGACCCGGGTTCGGTTCCCGCTAAGGGCACGTACTTCGGTTGCAGTTTGTCCCCGGCCCTGGTTGGTCGTGCGGGTGGCAGCCACTCGATGTGTCCCTTCGCGTCGATGTTTCTCTCTCTCTCCCTTCCTCTCTCTCCCTCCCACTCTATCTGTACAAAAAATGGAAAAATATCCTCGGGTGAGGATAAAAATAAATAAAAATAATACAGTGTTCTGAAATGTGAGGTTTAGGGTTTTCTCAGTGAGTTACATAAAAGAAGCAATGTCTTCTTTCTACTGCTTTCTCTAGATTCAGGGGCTTCTACTCCTTTTCTCGCTTAATGTCTCTAGTCCTGTCACGAATCCTTCATTTCTCAAACTTAACATCTACCCCTTGGATCTGGGAACAACGAAAATTTAACAGCCTGAGTTCCATCCTGGCTCCACAACTTCCTAGCCGTCATCATGAAAAGTTACTTAATTAGATATGGTCCACGTAAAAGGTTTATTGGTTTTTTTGTGTGTTTTTTTGAGTATGAGATAATCCTCAGAGCATTCAGCAGGCACTGGCAGAGGAAATAATCAGTAAATGTTTCCAAGACCACAGTTCTAACCATTCAAACCATGCTTAAGTGTGGTCAAGAAGTCTTTTCACGTTGTAAACGCAGTGGTGTGGGCGGCAGCAGAATCTGCGGAGACTGGGTTTAAGCCTGAGCGCGGGACAACAGAGATGGAGGCGGCACAGATCGCGGCCCCTCCATCACAGCTTAACGTCCGGAGTCGTTACCTTTGCTAAGCTCAGAGGGTTTCACCTCTAGGAGTTCCTCAGCTGTCTGGAAACCTGCAGACACCAACTTAACTCGCACCGCAGGGGCCAGGGGAAAACTCACTAACTCCCGCTGCATTGCAAAGCCTTCAACGCGCAGTGACACAGTAGATGCTCAATTCCTCGCGGCCGAATCCCGAACGTCCCTGCCGGGCCGCACCACGTGACGTCAGGCGTAAAGAGGAAGGGGCGGAGTCTGCGACTTGGCCGCTCGCGGCCTTGAGCTCTGCCGCTTTGCAGAGGCACACTAAATTTCCACATATGCATGCCATTTCTGTCATGAATCTTCCAAAGCCCCTTACGGTTTCTCATTAAAAGTACATCCCGATAGCCCTGACGGGTTTGGCTCAGCGGTTAGAACGTGGGCTCGCGGACCAGAGTCTCTAGTTCGATTGAGGCCACGGGCACATACTTCGGGTGCAGTTCCGTCCTGCCCTGGTCAGGGTCCACAGGGAGGCAGCCAATGATGTCTCTCTCACATCGATGTGTCTCTCGATGTGTCTCTCTCGCTCTCTCCCTCCCACTCTATCTGTACAAAAAATGGAAAAATGTCCTCAGGTGGGGATAAAAAAAAAAGTAAAAAAGATAGATGGAAGCCGGCAGAATGGAGAACCAAGCCCAGGGGGCCCTACGCATCACAATTTCTCACCTCTGCCCTAGCCCTTTGGGTGAAACCTCAGGGTTATTCATAGGAATGATGGTCCGGATGGGAGTGATGCACCACACACACACACACACACACACACACGCTGGACAGTTACCGGTTTGGAATATGGAACATATATATAAGGATTAATCTGTGCCCCCATTATAGGGTTCCAGTCCAGCAGATTTATCGCCTGCTGTCCCCCTTCTTGCCCCGCCTGCCTTTCCCGCCCTCGCCATCGCGAGGGATTGTGGGCTGGCCCGCCACCTGCCTTTCCCGCCCTCACCATCGCGAGGGATTGTGGGCTAGCCCGCCACCTGCCTTTCCCGCCCTCGCCATCGCGAGGGATTGTGGGCTAGCCCGCCACCTCCGGAGAGCAGCCTGTGCCCAGTCGCCTCGCCCACCCACCAATGCCATTCCTCGAGACCGGTTTCAGAATCTGGATTCTGAAGCCGTTAGTTCTTAACGGCCTGCCTAGCTTAAGAGGTAGCTGGAAAAGTGAGTAATATTCCCATAACGGGCTGGGCGTGGGCTCCCCGTTCTGAGACGGAGTAGTTGGGCTACGCAACAGCTCCTGTTCTGGTGCAGAGTTGGAAACGGACCAGGTCTAACACAAGGGAACTTTGAGGGACTTGAGAGGTGTTTTACGAAGTCTGTCCTTGCCTAGGTGAGTTATTATTACTTTCTGGAAATAACTCTTTCCCTACCTTTGGGCGACGATTCTTAGCCTCGATTTTTCTTTCTAAAAAAAAACAAAACTCCCCACATAGTGCAAATTAGAGCCCTTTGAGTATGTAATATCTAAGGGAGGAAATATGTTGCCCACGTTAGCAAATCCTACACGTCTCAAATGCTAGCCACTGGTGTACGAGGGAAGGAAAGGGCAAAAGTTCATAGCACAGTTTTCTTGAAGCCAAAATTAAAGCCTAGTATCCTTTTTTCTACCACGACCTACTTCCAAATTGTGAGCCCCTCTTGGGGTGGGGGTAGAATTCCAGAAGTGTTTGTTCCCTATTTGGTAGGGCAGAGAAAGTCTGGTAGTACTGATCAAAATGTGGTTGGTTTGCCACTCTATACAGTGCCTAACCTCTAGTGTGATCCACGTCTGGGCACACAGTGGGCATTTCATTAATGTTGTCCACAGGGAGAATTCACGCTTGTGCTTGTAAAGCGTTGGTTTTGGATAAAGAAGGGATGATGTTTACCCTTTTAAGGATAGCTGTTCAGTTTGGTGAAATTCAGTGGGATTGGCCGTGTTTAAGATTTCTGTTTCATTGGCATTGGTGAGTTAAGTAACTAGACTATCTGTAGCTATACAATTATGTATTATTTATATCTTAATCTGACCCTTGAGTTGCCAATAATTATAGTTTTCATCATCATACTTAAGATTTTTTTTTAATGAGGTATCACCTTACACCTGTCAGAATGGCTGCCATCAACAAATCAACAAACAAGTGTTGGCGAGGGTGTGGAGAAAAGGGGATTCTAATACACTGCTGGTGGGAATGCAGACTGGTGCAGCCACTATGGAAAACAATATGGTGTTACCTCAAAAAATAAAAAATTGAACTTCCAATTGACCCAGTGATCCCGCTTCTAGGAATATACCCTAAGAAGCCTGAAACACGAATCAGAAAGAATACATGTACCCCCATGTTCACAGCAGCACTATTTACAATAACTAAGATCTAGAAACAGCCCAAGTGTCCATCAGTAGACGAATGGATAACAAAGTAGTGGTACATATACACAATGGAGTACTACACAGCTGTAAGAAAGAAAGATCTCTTATCCTTTGAGACTACATGGAGGGATCTGGAAAGTATTATCCTAAGTGAAACAAGCCAAGCAGAAAAAGACAAATACCACATGATCTCACTTATATACGGAATGTAATGTACATTACAGTCTGAGGAATGCGGTAGACCCAGAGACGTGGAAGTAGGGTACAGACTGACAACCCTCAGAAGAGGGTGTGGTGGGGGTGGGAAGAGATAAACCACAGAACTTATATGCATGTATGCATAACCAATGGACACAGACAATAAAGCCGGGGACGGGGTGTTGGGGATGGGGAGGAGAGGGTGCCAATGGGGTAAAAAAGGAGAAATATCTGTAACAAAAATAAAATTTAAAAATAAATTAAAAAAAAAAAAAAAAACTTCAAAGATGAGGAAAAAATAATAATGAAAACAAAAAAGAAGCCCTGGCCGGTTTGGCTCAGCGGTTAGAGCATCAGCCTGCGGTCCCGAGAGACCCCCGGTTCGGTTCCCGCTAAGGGCACGTACCTTGGTTGCAGTTTGTCCCCGGCCCTGGTCGTGCGGGTGGCAGCCACTCGATGTGTCCTTTTCACTTCGATGTTTCTCTCTCTCTCTCTCTCTCTCTCCCTCCTACTCTATCTGAACAAAAAATGTCCTCGGGTGAGGATAAAAAAAAAAAAAAAAGAAAAAAAAAGATTTTTTTTTAAAGCCTGTATACTCAGGCTTTAAAAACTGGGATCTAGGGTTATGAGGCCAGGCACCAGGAACTAACAAAGCTATAGGATTTATATGGAAGGTGCATCTTCTTTCCTATAGTGTCAGGATTTCTCAAATACATACTTTTTTAAGAGAAAGAAGAGTTGAATGATTTAATTGGTAAGCCATTTAAAATGTTTTCTGTCGGCCGGCCGGTGTGGCTCACTGGTTGAGTGTCGACCCATGCACCAAGAAGTTGCCAGTTTGATTACCAGTTTGGGCACAGGCCCAGGTTGTGGGCCAAATCCCTGGTGGGGGCCATGCAGGAGGCAGCCAATCTATGTTCTCTCTCATTGATGTTTTTCTCTCTCTCTCTCTTTCTCTCTCTTCCACTCTCTAAAATCAGTAAAGAAAAAAGATTTTTTTAAATAAATAAAACATTGCCCTGGCCGGTTTGGCTCGGCAGTTAGAGCATTGGCCTGCAGTCCAGAGAGACCCAGGTTTTCGGTTCCTGCTAAGAGCATGTACCTCTGTTGCAGTTTGTCCCTGGCCCTGGTTGGGTTGTGTGGGTGGCAGCCACTTGATGTGTTCCTTTCACGTCGATGTTTCTCTCCCTCTCCCTCTCTCCCTCTCTCTCCCTCTCTCTTCCTCTCTCTTCCTCTCTCTCCCTCTCTCCCTCCCTCCAGCTCTATCAGAACAAAAGATGGAAGAATGTCCTCAGGTGAGGATAAAAAATAGTAATAATAATAAATAAATAAATAAATAAATAAATCATTTTCTATTAAATAAGTATTAACATATTGTAGAGTGAAACTGCAAACATAAAAATAAATTTTAAGATAAACCTAAGACTTTGGAGAAAGATCCTGTTTAAAGTGGATACTTTAGTAGTCTCCCAAAGCTTCCTAGGTATATGTTTTTATTTTCCTTTGCAGTTGGGGTTACTCATAGAGGCACTGTGATGGATATAAGCTTTGGAGTCATACAAATGTGTTTTCTTATCATATCTCTAGAAATTATCAACTGTGAGACTTTCAGCAAGTTTACTCAGTTGCCTCACCTACAAGTAGAAGATAATATTTCATGGGGTTGTTGGAAAGATTAAATTAACAAATATAAAGTATTTGGCACAGAAAAGGTATATAATAAATCTTAGTTTCTTTCTCCATTTTAAAATGTTCTGACATGTATATTCAGTTGAATAAAACCTTATTGAACACTTAACTACACAGAATACTAATGCTGTGCCTATAGCCCTGGCCAGTGTGGCTCAATTGGTTGAGTGATCGTCCTGTGCACCGAAAGGTTGCCGATTCAATTCCAGGTCAGGGCACATGCCTGGGTTGTGTACTCTATCCCTGGTCAGGGGCATGTAGGAGGCAGCCAATCAACATCTCGCTCTCACATAGAAGTTTCTCTCTCCCTCTCCCTTCCTCTCTCTAAAAATTAGTGAATGTATATATATTTTAAAAACTCTGAATCAAGGCTTTGCTTTAGAGGTGGTTCTGACAAAACTTAAGTCTTCAGACATATATCTGGAGTAGCAATATCAATTGCACAAGTCCTTATACACAGTAGGAGTTCAATATATACTTGTTGTCTACAAGTTTTCTTGAAACCTTCTCACTTGACTTCTGTGATGGTATACTGATTTCCTTTCTATCCATCTGGCTTTTCTTTTTCCCTTGCAAACTCATCCTCAGTAACTTGGGCATGAGCTTTTGCTGACTATTCTGTTCTCGCCTCCTCCTCTTTTGCTTTCTCTCATTCTTATTTTCTCTCTCTTTGTGCTATCTTATTCACATTCACAATCCAATGACTATTTATATGCCAAAGATTATTAAATTTATATTTCTAGTCCTGACTTGTCTACTGACCTCCAGATGCAAATATCTAATCGTCTACTGACAAAGCAAAATCTCCAACTCAGCCTTTCTTGAATCTAACTCATTATCTTCAGCCCACTCCCAAAACCTTGTCCCTCTTCCTGCATTCCCTACTTAAAGACAGGATTGCCCTGCATGTAACAGCTATGTACAAAAAAGTCATAAAATTGTCCTTGGATTTGCCCTGGCCAGGTGGCTCAGTCGGTTGGAGCATCTTCTCATAAAACAAAAGCTTGTGGGTTCGATTCCTGGTCAGAGCACATACCTAGGTTTTGGGTTCAATCCCCAGTTGGGGCACATACAAGAGACAACTGATCAATGTTTCTCTCTCACATCAATGTTTCTCTCTCCCTAAAATCACAAAACATATCCCTGGGTGAGGATAAAAAAAAATAATTGTCCTTCATTTACAATGATAAATGTAAAACATTAAGTCTTCAATCGAACAAGGTATGCAAGGATTTTTTTTTTTTTGGTATTCTTTTGTTGTTGTTGTCAAACAGTGAGCAGAATAACTTACTGGAATATAAAGATAAGAACTGAATAGCCCTGGCCGGTTTGGCTCAGCGGTTAGAGTGTCGGCCTGCGGTCTGGAGAGACCCGGGTTCGGTTCTCGCTAAGGGCACGTACCTCGGTTGCAGTTTGTCCCCGGCCCTGGTTGGTCGTGCGGGTGGCAGCCACTCGATGTGTTCCTTTCACATCGATGTTTCTCTCTCTCTCTCTGTTCCTCTCTCTCCCTCCCACTCTACCTGAACAAAAAATGGAAAAATGTCCTCGGGTGAGGATAAAAAAAAAAAAAAAAAAGAACTGAATAAACATGCCACTAGTGGAGAAAGAGGGTATTTTCATAGAACCAGTATTTTTTCCATCCCATCCCCATTTGATGTCAATCAAAACATAGCATTGGCCACACTGAAAATGGCATTTTGAATGTAAGAGTTGTTTGGTGATAACAGTTGTCTAGTTCATAGTCATCACATTTTTTCCCTTACATGAGTGATTCCCAACCAGATTTCAAGGTATCATAACTGTTATTTTACAAACCAAAATGTGGATGTTTTATTTATAGGCTATATACGTCTGTGTTTATATATTTGCATCTATGTGTGCATGTTTGCATATATATTGCATAGTACTTCTTTCTTTGGGGGATAAAGTGTAAAAATCAAACTGGCTGACTATCAAAAAGTCAGACTTCAGGAATACAGTAGTTGCAGCTCGTATTATGTAATTCCCTCCCCACTCCAACCCAATATATATATTTTTCCTTTATTGATTTTAGAGAGAGAGGAAGGGAGAGGGAGAGAGAGACACACAAAAATATTGATGACAGAGAACATCGATTGGCTACCTCCTGCATGCCCCCCACTGGGGATTGGGCCCACAAGCTGGGCATGTGTCCTGACGGAGAATTGAACCGGAGACTTCTTGGTGCATGGGTTGACGCTCAAACACTGAGCCACACTGGCTGGACCAATATTTTTTTCTCTCTCAACCTCAGACACCTCTGTATTCTCAGTCATTGTGTTGTAATCTTTAATAAGATTTTTTAAATAGCATTCTTTCTTACTGTGTTGTGTGTGTTTTTTTATTTTTTTATCCCCACCCAAGGACATTTTTCCATTTTTTTGTTTCGATTGAGTGGGAGGGAGAGAGAGGAAGAGAGAGAGAGGAAAAAAAACATCGACGTGAAAGGGACACGTCCAGTGGCTGCCACCTGACCCAACCAGGGCCGGGAACAAACTGCAACTGAGGTACCGGACCCGGGTCCCTCTGTGCTGCAGGCCAACGCTCTAACCGCCTAGCAAAACTGTCCAGGGCTGTGTTTTGGGTTTTTTTTAATCCTCACCTGAGGATGTATTTACTAACTCCACAGAGAGGAAGGGAGGGGGAGCAAGAGAGAAAACCATTCATCAGTTGCCTCTTATATGCACCCCAACGGGGACCAAACCCGCAACCTTTTGGTGCAAAGGATGATGTGCCAACCAACTGAGCCACACCAGCCAGGGCATTCTTTCCTGTTTTAAAGATATAAAACTCCTGCTAATTTATTTTGGCAAAGGAGAGAATACCAGAGGAGTCATGTATATAAAAAGATTTGGGAAATAGGTTGATTCTAGCGTGAATCTTGAAGAGACAAAGAACAAGTTAGCCCTGGCCAGTTTGGCTCAGCGGTTAGAGCATCAGCCTGCGGTCCTGAGAGACCCGGGTTTGGTTCCCGCTAAGGGCATGTACCTTGGTTGCAGTTTGTCCCCGGCCCTGGTCGGTCGTGCGGGTGGCAGCCACTCGATGTGTCCCTTTCACTTCGATGTTTCTCTCTCTCTCTCTCTCTCTCTCTTCCTCCCACTCTACCTGAACAAAAAATGTCCTCGGGTGAGGATAAAAAAAAAAAAAAAAAAAGAACAAGTTAAACTTGGAAACACCAGTTCTAATTTACAGTGAGGCAGGAAGGAGAGGATTGAGGACTGATTTTATGTATATACTAACCATTGCCTAAAACAGGATATACTCTTTTTGAAGAGTGTATTATTTTAAGAGGACTCAGGAGTTTCTTGTAGGATGGATTCTCTGGTAGTCTTGTCTGGATTTCACAGGCACCTGTAAAAAAACCAAAAGGATGCACGAGAAGATTTATTGTTGCTTGGGAGGGGTGACACTTTTAGTGTGAAGGTGGATTTCCAACAGAGAGAGAGAGGGAGGGAGGGAAGGAATGCTCATCACACTCCTGCTGTGCCGCTGTGCAAATATGACTTCCTCAAGTGTGTTAGTGTGGGAGGGGTCACTGTGTGAGCTTTTCCCTGGTTTTCTTGGTTCAAAATTAGAATTAGTGTTTGTGCAACTGGTCTTTCAAGTAAGGGTGATCATTTGCCACATATTTGAAAGTGCATGTTTTGTACATGTCCTTGAAACTTTGAACTGACAACTTACTTTTAGCAATACATGGACTGGATTTTTAAATATAGTTTTGCTAACTTTTGTCTTTTCAGGCTTGATCTTTCAGTTACATAGTGACTTGATGACCTGTGGCAGACACCACAGTGATGACATTAGCTCCAAGCCCTTTAAGGAAAGAACACATTTATATTGTTTATCTTTACATATGTAGAGTGTCTTTACCTTTGTTTTATTTGAACAGCACCACGAGCAATACTAGGAAAAAGACTCACTGAGATCATCAAAAGGGGTGTGGAATATGTAGATGAGCGCAGTGACTGCTGGTCAAGCATACACTAGACATTAGATTTCCTAGGATTTTGGCACTATCCAAATATTTATATTATTGATACTTGGTAATTATAGTTTGAAGACTCTATTTCAGAAGTAGGAAGGTCAACAGAATGTGTAATAAAAGTGATCCTATTGTAAGAGTGATTTGAATCTAATGGTTAAGTGCCAGGCAGGAATAGGAACTCATACTTACCTGGCAGGGGAGATACCATGATCACGAAGGTGGTTTCCCCAGGGCGAGGCTTATCCATTGCACTCCGGATGTGCTGACCCCTGCGATTTCCCCAAATGTGGGAAACTCGACTGCATAATTTGTGGTAGTGGGGGACTGCGTTCGCGCTCTCCCCTGGTTTAGAGTGTTTAAAGAGAAGATTAACGGACCATTTTATTGCAGTTCTATCTGCTACTTTATGGGTGTAGTGAGTTTGCTTTCAGCGTCGCGGTTTGTATAACTCGCAGGCTGCTTCAAATATCCAAGTTGACCCTTGAGGGAAGAAAAGTTCCGCGGCAGCGTCGGCCTGGGTCCCCTCTAAGGGCATGGACCTCGGTTGCGGTTTGTCCCCGGCCCTGGTTGGGTCGTGTGAGTGGCAGCCACTCGATGTGTCCCTTTCACGTGGTGTTTCCCTCTCTCTCCCTCCCTCTCTCTCTGAACAAAAAACGGGCCCTGGCCTGTTTGGCTCAGCGGTTAGAGTGTCCGCCTGCGGTCCTGAGAGACCTGGGTTCGGTTCCCGCTAAGGGCGAGTACCTCGGTTGCAGTTTGTCCCCGGCCCTGGTCGGTTGTGCGGGTGGCAGCCACTCGATGTGTTCCTTTCACGTCGATGTTTCTCTCTCTCTCTCTGTTCCTCTCTCTCCCTCCTACTTTACCTGAACAAAAAATGGAAAAATGTCCTCAGGTGAGGAAAAAAAAAAAGGAAAAATATCCTCAGGTGAGGATAAATAAAAAAAATAAAGAGGCTAATTCTATATATTCTTTGTTGTCCCTGTCTTCATTTCAGAGGCAATAGTTTAGCAGTTTCTCTAGACTGGAATCTCTTCTCTCCTGTCATATCTGTTTGGCCTGCCTGTTACCTTCTTCCATTCTGTTAGGGCCCTGTGGTTACATTAGGCCCACCTGGATAATTCAAGGTACTCTTCCCATCGCATATCCTTAATTACATCTGCAAAATCCCTTTTGCCACAAAGATAATAAAAGTCACAGGTTCCATTGATTAGGATATTTTTGGTGGGCCATTATTCAATCTACCCCATCAACAAAACCGGAAGATCGATTTGTCAGGAGCCAGGAGCTATACAATGACGTAAATAAAAGGTGCTTGGAGTAGCCCTGGCTGGTCTGGGTCAGTGGTTGGAGAACTGTCCCGTGGACTAAAGAGTCTCGGTTTGATTCTAGTTAAGGGCACATACCTCAGTTGGGGTTCCGTCTCCTGCCCTTCCCTGGTCGGTGTCGTGCAGGAGGGAACCAGTCAATATGTCTCTCTCACATCTATGTTTCTCTCTCTCTCCCTCCCTCCCACTCTATCTGAAGATAAATGGAAAAAAATATCCTTGGGTGAGGATTTAAAAAAAAAAAAGGTGCTTGGAGTATATAAATGAGTGCAGTGTCTTGTTCACATGTACATACATTTATGACTTTTGCAAATATTACAGTATCCAAAATGTTATTGTCTGTTTTTTACTGCTATTTGGAGAAGTCTTTTTTTTTTCTATTTTTTATCCTCACCCAAGGATACTTTTTTCGTTTTGTTTTTTTTCCCCAGATAGAGTGGGAGGGAGTGGGGGTGGGGGGATGGAGAGAGAGAAATATCAGTGTGAGAGAGACACATCAATTGGTTGCCTCCCACAGGACCCCTACCTGGGCATGGGATGAAACTTGCAACCGAGGTATGTGCCCTTGACCAGGAATGAACCGGAAACTCCTTGGCCTGTGGGCCAGACCGATGCTCTAACTGCTATGCCAGACCTGCTCTAACTGCTGAGCAAAACTGGCCAGGGTCAATTTGGAGAAATTTTTATTATGTAAGTAATGGTCTAGAACTTGCATGAATGACGAATGTGGTTAGTGTTTGGAATCTGAGGATGAGGTGCCAGGCAACAGCAGCAATTCATATTTACCTGGCAAGGGAGAGATACTAGTGTCATGAAAGTGGTTTTCCCAGGCGGGATTAGGCTCACCCATTGTACTGTGAGTGCGCTGATACCTGCAATTTCCCCAAATGTGGGAAACTCAACTGCGCAATTGTGGTAGTGGGGGGCTGTGTTTCCAATTTCCCATTTTATTCTATGTTCAATGGTAGTGTATCTTGGTGTGGGTGAGGTTTACTGTACACATGTTGATTTACATATACCAAATTGTCTGGCAGAGTAGAGTGTAATTATTCTGTTGACCAGTAGAGGGCTGACTTCCCACCACCTTAAACTATCTGCATTTATTTTTTTAATTTAGCGATTTTTTTAGAGAGGGAGACAGGGAGGGACGGAGGGATGGGGGGAGAGAAACACCAGCCTGCTGCTCCACTCATTTATGCATTCATTGGTTAATTCTTGTAAGTGCCCTGACTGGGGATTGAACCAACTACCTTGGTGTATAGGGATGATTCTCTAACTGAGCTGCCCCTCCAAAGCTCATGTACAAGTTTTGGTATGGATATGTTTTCATATTTCTTGGGTATATACTAGGAATGGAATTTTTGGGTCATATAGTAACTCTATGTTTAACATTTTGAGAAACTACCTGTTTACCAAATGGCTGCACCATTTTACGTTCCCACCAGTTGTGTACAAGGGTTTCAGTTGTTTCACATCCTCAGCAACATTTGTATTATCTGTCATTTTAATTCTAGCCATCCCACTGGCTGTAAAGTAGTATCTCAAGGTTGTTTTGATTTGCATTTCCCTAATGACTAATGGTGTTAACTTAAGCATCTTTTCATGTGCTCATTGGATATTTGCATATCTTCTTTGAAGAAAAATCTACTTAGATCTTTTCCCCATTTTTAAATATCAAATTGAGTTGTCTTTTTATTGAGGTGTAGTCATTTTTTATATATTCTTTTTTTTTTTTTTATCCTCACCCGAGGACATTTTTCCATTTTTTTTTGGAAAAAGGTAGAGTGGGAGGGAGAGAGAGGAACAGAGAGAGAGAGAGAGAGAGAAACGTCTATGTGAAAGGAACACATCGAGTGGCTGCCACCCGCACAACCGACCTGGGCTGGGGACAAACTGCAACCGAGGTACGCGCCCCTAGCGGGAACCGAACCCGGGTCTCTCAGGACCGCAGGCCGACGCTCTAACCGCTGAGCCAAACCGGCCAGGGCGTTTTTTATATATTCTTGATACAGATTCCTTATGAGATATATGATTTACAAATATTTTCTCTCATTCTGCGTGTTATCACTTTGTCCTTTGAAGAACAAGTTTTTAATTTTGATTAAGTCAAATTTATCTGGGTTTTCTTTTGTCAGTTTTGCTTTTGATGTCATATATAAGAAACCATGTCCTAACCTAAAGTCATGAAGATTTATGCCTGTGTTTTTTTCCATTTTCTAGTTGACTCTTACATTTAGGTTTTTCATCTATTTTGAATTAATTTTTTATTGAATTTATTGATGTGACATTGGTTAATAAAATTATATAGGTTTCAGGTGTACAATTCTATAATACATCATCTGTATATTGTATAATGAGTTCACCACCTAGAGTTTTGAGATAGAGTTTTGAGATAATTTGGGGGGGGGGGGCGTGTGTGTGTGTGTGTGGTATGTGCCCCTAGCGAGAACCAAACGGGAACTCTCTGGTCCGCAGGCTGACGCTCAACTGGCCAGGGCTTGAGATACTTTTTTAATAAAGTGTGAGGTAGGGTCCCATTCAGTTGTCCCAACACCACTGTTGAAAAACTGACTGTTCTTTCCTCTATTGAATTATTTTGTCACCATAGTTTAAAATCAATTGATGGGTCATTATGAGCATTTGTTTTCTGGATTCTCCAATTCTGTCCCATTGACCTATATGTCTATTCCTATGCCAGTACCACACTGCTATTATTACTGTTGTTTTGTAGTAAGTTTCAAAGTCAGGAAACTTTGAAATTGTGGTCCAATTTCTTTTTTTCCCCTAGTCTTTCTGCTATCTTGTTGGTATTTCCTTTGGAAAATGGACTTTAGCCTAGGCATTGGAGAATTGTTGGGGTGTTGAGGTAGGAGGTAAAATGGGTATTGAACACAGTAGTGTATGAAGCGGCTAGAGTCACTGGTTGCTGAAGAGCCTCAGACTCTAGTTTCCTTAATTAAAGCGTTTTATTTACAGCTGCTATAGCCTGTAATTCCCAAACAAAAGTCAGTTTCTTCTAAACAAGCTAAACAAAAGTAGAAGAAGAAAAAAGGCAAGGGGAAGTGACGTCACGGGGCAAAGGGTGTGGATATGCAAATAATAAACGCAATGCATGCTCAGATGTTCAGGGATGCCAGTATTCTGAAGGTATCAGAAAATAATTAGAAGCAATGTTGAAGCTTCTGATTCTAGAAATATCTAATGATACAAAGTAGGGCTCTGATTACTGGCTTTTGTAATGACCGTGATAAAAATTCTTGTGTGTGGAAGAGTTTGGAGGCTGACCAACACCTTAACTCATAGTTACCTGCAAGGGGGGAGATACTGTGATCATGAAGGTGGTCTCCTCAGGCTGAGGTTCAGCCTATTGTACTTTGGGCGCGCCAACCTTGTCATTTCCCCAAGTGTGGGAAATTGGGCTGCGTAATTTATGGTAGTTGGAAAGTGCTGCGTTCATGCTCTTCCCCTGGAAATTTATGTTGCAAAAATAGCTGTCTTACTATTTTTCAATTAGTGCAGTAATGATGCTCTTTTGTGGTCCGTATAGTTTATTAGTGTATAGAGTCCCTTTTCGAGGCTTTTGTTGTTGTTGTTGTTAATCCTACCCCAGGAGAGAGAAACATCCATGTGAAAGGGACACATTGAGTGACCCCCCAGGGCCGGGGACAAACTGCAACCAAGGTACATACCGTTAGTGGGAACTGAACCTGGGTCTCTCTGGACCTGAGGCCGATGCTCTAACAGCTGAGCCAAACCAGGGCCTATTTTTTGTAAGATACTACTTTTAATGTCTAATACATATATTTCCACCCTTTTTTTTATTGGAACTTTCCCCATTATAAATTCCTTGAAGGCACAGGGGTTTTGCTTTTTGTATGTTTTGTTCATTGTTTGATTCCCTAGCTCAAAAAGAAAATGCTCTGCACAGAGGGGAGGTAATTTAGCTCAGTAAGAGGATGTTGAATGGATATTGGTACTTACTGTGTAGTCTTAATTCTTTAAAATTAAGAATATATCGAGGAGCATTTGAGATCTTGCTCCCCAGCATATGCTGTCAGCTTGGGTCAAATAAATTAATATTTATTTATTTATTCATTTCAGAGAGAGGAAGGGAGAGGGAGAGAGATAGAAACATAGATGAGAGAGAACATCAATTGGCTGCCTTCTACATGCCCCCCAATGGGGATCCTGCCCACAACCTGGGCATATGCCCGACTGGGAATCAAACTGGTGACCTCTTGATGTATGGTGCACTGAGTCACACCAGCTGTGCTGTGCTGCTATTTTATTTTATTTTATTTATTTCCAGAGAGAGAGGGAGAAAGAGAGAGAGAAACATCGATGTGAGAGAGACACATCGAGCGGTTGCCACCCAAACGACCCCACCCAGGGCTGGAGACAAACTGCAACCAAGGTATGTGCCCTTAGCAGGAACCAAACCTGGGTCTCTGGTTTGTAGGCTGATGCTCTAACCGCTGAGCAAAACCAGCCAGGATTGTGCTGCTATTTTTTTCTTTTTTAAAGGTGAAGTTTTTGGGTTTTTTTTAATCCTCACCCGAGGAAATTTTTCCATTTTTTTATTCAGATAGAGTAGGAGGGAGAGAGAGAGAGAAACATCGATGTGAAAGGGACACATCGAGTGGCTGCCACCCACACGACCCAACCAGGGCTGGGGACAAACTGCAACCAAGGTACATGCCCTTAGCGGGAACCGAACCTGGGTCTCTCGAGACCTCAGGTCGATGCTCTAACCACTGAGCCAAACCGGCCACGGCTGTGCTGCTATTTTAAAGGGGTTGTGCCTTTTGGAGAATCCAGGAACAGGTATTTTGGGAAATGAGGAATAAATGGGAATGGAGGGGAAAGAATAGGTAAGGTATAGTGATTACTGTGGAGTTTACATAGGGAAATTCTAGGCCATACAATTGTGGCTTGGAAGAGATCACAAAATAACTTTTGGAGTTTGCAGCTCATTTATTGACCCTTCTAAAGGATAGTTTGTGGTAGCAGAGGCTGGTATTTGGACTTTCTTTTGGTTATGGTCTGTTGAAAGTCTAGTTCAGAAGATGTTCTGCCGTTCCCACTCCCAGCACTGTTTAGTTACCAATATAAACAGCACTGTTTATATTGGTGGGATGGCAGGCCATTTAGTTAACCAGCAACCTAGGATTGGGAGCATGCTGTTTGAGTATTATTCATAGATCTCTGCTGGGGCTGAGACACAGAGTATGAGATGAAGATTTGGAGGTGAGCTATAGAAAGGGCCTAGTTTAATAGTTGAACTCCCATCATAGTTGGCATTAGGAAAGTGGATGAATTTTTTCTGAAGAAGGAAGCATGCAAATTAGAGCAAGAGAAGTTCACCCTTGAAAGAAGCTGGGGAAAGAGCAGAGGTGAGCACTGTAGTTAGGCATTCCAAGGAGAGGTCACTGCTGATGGTGCTGAGGGATTGCAGAGTATGTGCACTTTCATAAACAGTAGTCATTTGTGACCTTTGAAAAAAACGTAGTCACCCGGCCGGAGTAGCTCAGTGGTTGAGCATCTCGACCCACGCACCAAGAGATCGCTGGTTCAATTCCCGGTCAGGGTATATGCCCAGGTTGTAGGCCAAACCCCCAGTGTGGGGCATGCAGGAGGCGGCCAATTGATGTTTCTGTCTCTCTCTCCCTCTCTCTTCCTCTTTTTAAAAATAAATAAGAAAGCCCTGACCAGTTTGGGTCAGCGGTTAGAGTGTTGGGCAGCGGACCATGGAGTCCCAGGTTCAATTCTGGCCAAGGGCACATACCTCGATTGCAGTTCATCTCCAGCCCGGTTGGGGTCGTGGGGGTGGCAACCAGTGGATGTCTCTCTGTCTTTCTCTCTCTCTCTCTCTCTCTCTCCCTCCCTCCCACTCTGAAGATAAATGTAAAAATATGCTCGGGTGAGGATTAATAAATAAATAAGTACACTCACACAAAAAAGAAATAAAGGAAAAAAACGCAGTCATTTTTCTGTGTTTGGTAGAGCAGGGAGAAATGCAAAGAAAACAAGAATAATATGTTCTGGCCACATTAGTAATTTTTTTTAATCCTCGCCCGAGGACATTTTTGCATTTATCTTCAGATAGAGCTGGAGGGAGAGAAGGAGGAAGAGAGAGAAAGAGAAACATTGACATGAGAGAGACACATCGACTGGTTGCCACCCACAGGACTCCAACCGGGGCCCGGGACCAACTGCATCCGAGGTACTCACCCTTAGCGGGACTGAACCCTGGACTCTGTGGTCCACGGGCCAGTGCTCTAACCGCTAAACCAAACCGGCCAGGGCCACATTAGTAATTTCTAGTGAATGGACCATTGAGCACATCTTGTCACGGGTAAGATCCATGCCATGGAAATTAGTCAGGCAGTTTTTACCCTGAACATCTTCAGTAATTAGCTTGAATTTCCTAAATGCAACTTCATCATTCTGCAGATCAGCTAGGCTCACTTCAAAAACACGGCCCTTGAGACCATCGGAAGCAATTTTGGTTCCTTGAGTTCTGGTGACCAGTGTTTTTCCAATATTTCTTATATTGAACATAGCTGGTGCTTTCACATCATACCAATCTTTCTTAGAAAATGGATCAACCACTTTCTTCTTGGCTCCCTTTTTGCCGCCTTTCGTAAGGCGCTTGTTCTTGCCCACCGTCATGGTGCCGCAGAGAGAGCCAAAAGGACGGAAGTGCAACTCGCGCGAGAACTTAGGCGTATGCAATGGGCTTAATCACCTGTTTTACAAATTAAACAATCAGTACATCTTGGAAATCCCCATAGTCCCACGGCTTGAGAATATCTTCATTAATTTCATTGACCACATCACATTGAGAATGTCCTAATCCTTTGTCCTCTTAAGTTCCCGGATGACAGAGAGGCTTTACTTGTTCTGGAGAACTTTCCAGCTCTGCTCTCAGGATATGAATTCCCTCCCAGTCCTTTTAAACTGATGTTTTCTTCACAAGTTAATAGTCCCTGACTATAATGAGGTTTGATTATATATCAATCTATAAGCCACTGAGTGTAGCGGTTAAGAGTGTGCTTTCACTAGCTCTACTACTGTCTAACTGGGTTGTTTTAGGTAAATTAGGTAACTGTCTTGTGTCTCATTTTCTTCATTTCTAAAATGTGAATATAATAATAATAGAACCAATCTAAAAATTCACTGGTGAAAATTAAATTAGATAATGTCTGTAAAGCCATAGAGCAGGGTCTGATATGTAGGAGCTATTCCATAAAGGTGATTTTAAACTAATGTATGAACTCCTGTGATCCAAGTAAATGAAAGAAAAACAAGAGAATAATGATGTAGGGGGACTATGGAATTGAGAACAATTTCTTTTCTGGATAAAGAACGCCTGTTTATATTTAAAAGGAGAGGTGCTAAATCCAGGGCAGAGGAAGGGACTGAGGCCAGAGAGGATGGATTGGGAGCATATGTGGAATGAGGGGTTTAATAAGAAAGGAGATCTCTTTTCCACTGACAGCAGAGGAGCCAGTGGTTCTTACATTTCAGAATGTAAGAATTACCTGGAGGGCATGTTAAAAGCACACACACACACACCCAAGTCTGATCCCAGACATTCTGATTCAATGGGTGATTTTGATGCAGATGATGATGGCTTGCACTTTGAGAAACACTGGTGGGATAGACAGTTTCAGTTTATTTTTGAAAAAAATAAGAAACTAACTGCCTGGCCGGTGTGGCTCAGTGGCTGAGCGTAGACCCATGTATCAAGAGGTCGCCAGTTTGATTCCTGGTCAGGGCACATGCCCAGATTGTGGGCCAAATCCTCAGTGCGGGGCATGCAGGAGGCAGCCAATCGATGTTTCTACCTCTCTGTCCCTCTTCCTACCTCTCTCTAAAATCAATAAAGGAAAAAAAAATTTTTTTTAAAGAAGAAACTAAATTATTCTCACACCTGTAAAAAGGATATATGGATGTGATTGCATTAGGGTTCGTCTCAATTTTGTCAAACCCAGAGTCCCCTTTTGTAACAAATAGTTCCCTTTACTATCTTGAAGATGTTCATAGAAAATTTAAACTACGTATACTTCCCCATAAATGGTATAATGTCCTAACTATAATATAATGGAGAAATAAAAATATGTTATAGAGTATTTTAATATGTAAATGCTTGGCAAGACTACAAAGGAAACAACAACAAAAAAATCCCCACAAAATTTCAAAAGTACCCCTTGTAGTAAGTGGTGTAGCATAGTTACTGGTTTAGGTGGAGGTTTGAAACAGCAGGGGAGAGGGAATTTAACAGAAATGTATGAAAGGAAGGCCAAGTAGCAGTGAAAATGTGGGTGCAAAGTGCCTAGATTTGGTCTAGGAGAGTCACAGCTTCTTCCTGCAGTGCTGGAGAAATGTAGGAGAGGAGGAGATGACTGTTGGATCTCAAACCAGATGGACTGAGGAAATATGCTATGCTTCTGTGTAAAAGGAGCAAGATGAGGTGGATGAGGGGCTAGTGAGTAAAATGGCATCTAGAGTCTGAAGAATCAAACTAACTTAGAGGTCAAACTCCTCCCCTCTCCTGCAATAAGTACACTAAAGGCCAAGAGTCTTACCTGGTTCAAAACACAAAAAAGCTGGGAAAATAGGAGCACCAGACAGTTTTTTCAAATATATTACTTGTCTAGCAAAATAAAGCAACTCAAAGCCTCTCTTTCTCCACCACTGTTGTGCTTGCAGTTGACTCTTCTTCCCCGTGTCTTCTCACAAGACTTTCAGGATCAAGAGTTTCGTGGCCAAGAAACAGAAACAGAAACAGAACCGGCCCATTCCCCCAATGGATTTAGATTAAAACTGCAAGGGGAGACAATGGAGAAGAACCAAGCTGTGTCTATAAGAAATCGCACATGAGATGGCTCACATGTTTATGCTATATCCAGGTTGCTTGCATCTTACCATATCCCAGAGTAGATCACGACTATCTGGACAGTTGGGCATGTTTTATTGGGAAATTACTGGAAGAATGATTTTTCTCTTTGTTAACATTTTTCTGCACTAACAGGTTAGTTCAGTAATAAAGGTGGACCTTTTAAAAACAAAAAAGAAAAGAAACTCGTACATCAGAAGAAAGAAAGAAAAAACTCATCCAATGCCTACGGATGGACCAGGTGTATTCCCTAGAGGGTATCTGTGCATCACAGGAGCCTGGAGGCTAGGTTTTAACAGCCCTTGGGCAGGAGGCAAAGCCTGAGCCGGACGGGAGGTCCGACTGGATAGTTCCTCTCCATTCCGTGTGAACTGCCAGAACAGATCCAGAGGCTAGAAGCTTGTCTAGAGTTGAGCAACGTGAACACTGAATTGTAGTCCAGATCTTGGATTCCGAGACCCTCACTCTTTGCAATACACCCCGCTAGCATGTAGCCGCGGCATTCTCGATTGGATGCCCTGTTCCTCCCCTCCTAGGAGGAAATGGCTGGGCTGGCGTGGATCCTTGGTCTCCAGGGACCGCCTGAAGCCGACTCCTGACTAAAATGACTTCGTGTCCGTTTGCTCAAGGGGACTCCACACGGGGAGATCCGAAAACCTTTGGCTACAGCGAAAGTTGGAAGAGGAGGGGATTTCGGTCGGCAAAACAGCCCGGTAGATGTCATTTAAGTCGGGGCACCTGGGAGGAAGAACTGATAATACACAGGCGACGCGATAGTGCGCAGGCGCAGGCTCGAACTGCCCCCCTTCTCCCGGCTGCCGGTGACGAAACGCGGGAGGTGGAGTTATGTAGATTTCATATTTAGGGCCATTGGGAACCGCGTTCACTGGGATGCTGTGTATTATATTCCCTGTTACCAATACTAAGATATAGTACAAAAACCTGAGGTTTTGTTCGCTATATATAGATATAGACCGATTAGAGTCGTTTCAAGAGTGACCCGAACCTTACAGTGGTGTGCCCAGCAGTGGGTAGTGCCGAAGGGGTGTTTCGCTTCATACTTACCTGGCAGGGGAGATACCATGATCACGAAGGTGGTTTCCCCAGGGCGAGGCTTATCCATTGCACTCCGGATGTGCTGACCCCTGCGATTTCCCCAAATGTGGGAAACTCGACTGCATAATTTGTGGTAGTGGGGGACTGCGTTCGCGCTCTCCCCTGGCAATGTTGTGCAATGGTAGACACTTATTGATGCTTATTTTTTGGACTGTAGTTATTCGCTATAGACGATGTGGTTGTAGAATACTTTTTGTTTGGGGGTTTTGTGAGTGTATTTTTCAGTTCATATGGACAACGGAGAGATACGAAGCACTTTTTTATTTGTTAACTAAGTCCTTATAATAGAGATTGAAACACAATAACTGGCCGTGGCCGGTTTGGCTCAGCGGTTAGAGCGTTGGCCTGCGGTCTGGAGAGACCCGGGTTCGGTTCCGCTAAGGGCACGTACTTGCACGTACTTCGGTTGCAGTTTGTCCCAGGCCCTGGTCGGTCTTGTGGGTGGCAGCCACTCGATGTGTCCCTTTCACGTCGATGTTTCTCTCTCTCTCTCCCTCCCACTCTACCTGAACAAAAAATGAAAAAATGTCCTTGGGTGAGTCTTTTGGAACGTAGATTATCCATGACCTTAAGTGAAATTGGTAAGGGTATGGCAGTGCCACTCTTTCTCAGGTATGTAGAATTCTCCAAGTAATTATCATCAATCATATTGAGTGAGGGGTTTCAGTTCCTCCTTATTGGTTTATTTGGGTTTTTTAGTCTGTCAGTGTAGTTGGTTGTTATTCTGGGCTACACAGTCTAAAGTGATAATTACTGTTATCTTCATTCTTGAAGGGTGAATTCAAGCAATGATAACTAAAATATGGTAAAATCTCAATTTGAAGCTAGTTCTATCAAACCCCATGTTCAAACTCTAAATACTCTGCAAAATACTCATGTGGTAGTTCAACCAGGATTTGAACCCCTCATTATGAATAAAAATATAGTCTGATATTGAAAGCCTGTAACCTGTTTCTCTCAATCAGTAACATCATTTTAATGCATTTTCTTCTAGTAATTTTCCGTAAGGGTACATATTTTTACAAAATTGCAGTCATGGTATACATGGCATCTCATTTTTTCCCTCTGTTAGTCTTATATAAATAGTTTTTTATGTTGTTAATTGCTATTATATTACTACTATGTTGGCTAAATAATCCACTTCTCTGTTACTTTGATATCTAGGGTTTGAGAGTAATTTTGGTTTTTGTAATTATAAGTATATCTGTGATGGATATCCTTGTGCATAGGACATTGTCTTTCTCTTATAGTTACTTCCTTTGGGCCAATTAAAAGAAATTTCTAGGTTGAAGGTATGAACATTTTTTAGTACTAGATGTATATAATTAGGGTTGAATTTTTTATTTTACTATAAGTAAAGTAATATAGACATGTTACAGAATATTTAGGGGAGAACAGTCCACAGTTCGGTAGATCGACACTAACATAATTATGTTAGGTGGCATTCTGGTATATTTCTTGAAGTTTCTTAAACTTTGCCTTTTTAGAAATAATTTTAATCATGGTATATATTCAATTCCATATGGTGCTTTTTTTTGCATGCAACATTATACAATTTAGTCTTCCCTCCCATTTTTAACTTGAAGTTCTTTTTATAATTAACTATGAACCATGAAATTAAAAAAGAGGTCTAGGCCTGACTTGTGTGGCTCAGTGGCTG